TGAATGCTTCCCGCTACCCCAAAGCAGTTAGCGGAAAAGGTACGGCGGCCGTTGGCGTGCACCTCATGCGCCGGGATGCAACATGGGGCGTCTTTCCCACTTACTCCTAGTCCAAGCGTTGGCCCAACCCACAGGGCTAGACGCATGTGCATGCACTTTTTTGCTTCTAGCCGAGTTGCAGTCGAGGGCCGTCGAGGGCATGTATGAAGGGCGAAAAAGGGGCTTGTATCCTGGCCTTGTATCCTGGCCAAGCGTCTGACTGGGCGACGGCGCTAATCACCTTGTCGAGCGTCAACGTTGATTAGCCCCAGCACCGGGCCTAGGCCAAATGCGGGCTTCAATTTTGCATCTCTCTGCCGTTGCTCTGGCGTTCTTGATCCGGTCAAAAGCTAAGTAGTCGTAAGCTCGGCTTCTTGGTTTCTTTATTATACTAAAGCCGGCGCCCTTCTCACCTGAAGTCTTTCCTTCACTCCCATCAAGTCGCACGCTTCTGCTGTACAGTCACTCCTTCAGATACTACTACTACTACTACTACTACCCTTAATACCCTAATCCTACCCAACCTAAACTCCAAAACTCGTCAACATGCGCTTCTTCGCCATCACCGTTGCGGCCTTTGCTGCTGCCGTTGCTGCCCTTGAGATCAACACCTTCCCTGCTGAGGGTGTTGTTGCCGGCCAGACCTACACCATCACCTACTCGCCTGCCGACGACACCCCAACCACCTTCATCCTCCGCCAGGGCAAGTCGACCGACCTCACCACCGTCGGAACCCTCACCAGTACGTTCTTCCACCTCAACAAACTTAGACTCAAATATACTAACAACCCCCAGCTACCGCCACTGGTGGAAAGTTCGAGTGGACCCCCGAGAAGAGCCTCCCAAGCCAGCCCGACTACGCGCTCCAGATCCAGCGTGGAAGCGTCATCAACTACTCTGCCCAATTCCCTCTCAAGGGCGGATCCGACGCGCCTGTTTCTTCGCCCAAGCCCTCTGGCTCTGCTTCGTCTTCTCCTACCCCTTCGCCTGCCAACTCGATGAGCAGCGCAATGGCCAGCATGATGTCCAGCATGACCAACGCCATGCCCTCTGCCTCCGCTACCATGGGCTCCGGCGCAAACTCGACCGTCTCATCCCCCACCCTCTCAAAGACTCACCTCCCCACTGGCACCAGCTCCGGCACTCTTCCCCAGGTCACCACCGCCGGTGGCAACAACCTCGCTGCCAGCCCTTTTGCTGCAATGTTCGGTGCTCTTGCTGCTTTCGCTTACCTCGCTTAAGCGTTGGTGGTGCGCTTGTCTTTCCTTTGAAGCAGAGACGTGCGAAAGCTTTTCTTGGTACTTTGTAAGGTTTTTGGCTCTTATCTAGCAAAAAGAATACTATGAGCCGTCTCTCGTCTATACATGCCCGCCCCCCAATGAGCAGAAACCGTCACGTCCACCCGTGATGCCAAAAGAGTCGGAAACGCTTCCCAACTTTTTTCAATTAATGCCGCGCTCGCTATGCAAAGAGCTTGTACAGCCTGCGTCTTTCCGTCTTACGCCAAAGCAAAATAACAATAACACATAAAAGATACAACATTGTTGTGCCTTGGTCTCACCTTGTTGCTTCATCTCAAATCACACAACGTCTCACATGCTACCCTACCCTACTTACCCTTACCCCATCCTACCCTAAGTAATGCAGCGTGTTTGACATATACCATCTATCCCTTGTCTGTCATACACCTTGCCTTGCCTTGCCTTGGACCTGTCTTCCCCTCGGTCTATTCCATCTTCGTACCACAGACGTCAGACGTGTCACCCACCTGCAAAACATGTCCGATATCCGCCTCGTACCGCATCCGTCATCTGGTGACGTGCGTTCCAGGACTGTGGTACAAGAAAGTTGTAGCCATGTGGTACAAGAGCTGTCATTGCGCACGCCCGCATGCGGGACTGGAGTCTTTGAGGCAAAGATTGCGCATGCGCGTACGCGTGATGGTGAGCGGCGCGATGCATGCGGCCGAGTTGATGCGACGTACTTTAGGAAAGGCTTTGTCGATGTTGGCGGAGGATTGCGATGACGTCTTTCCCCATCTCTAGCTTCGAGAAGCTACTCCTACTCATAACACAGTCCCCAGCATCTCCCTGCTGATTTCACTTTCACTTTCATCCAGGGGAGCGCGCACCCAAACGCGACACCATCTGTGTCCATGGCCAGCCAGCCAACCGGTCGCGCGCATCGTGCGTGCGTGTGATGCATTACTACGAGCGCCAGCACTGTCCCTAGTTACGGTACAGGCAAAACCCCAGCACTGACACCAGCATCTGCATCTGCATCTGCATCTTCAACCCTATCCATCGATCCATGTCCTTGCCCGGTACCCACGTCTCCACTTCTATGACGCCACCGCTCCCACACATGTCCATGTCGGTGCAGCCGGCTGTCGGTGGCGGCGGGAAGGGAAAGAGTGGTGCATGTGGGGGGTAGATGCAAGATGCCGCTTTTGCTCGTATCGCGGCAGCTACTGGTTCGTGAGTGCGTAGGTAGTGTTGGACTTGACCGGTGTGAGGAGGTACTTCTAGTCGGAGTTACCCGGTTTATAACTATATGCGCACACGGCATCTACACGGCTAGTAGATGGAAACAAGATCTTTTCTAGTGCTAACAAAGAATCAAGATACCTACAGTGAGCGGCGTATACCACAGTCCACAGTCCACAGCCACCCCGTCCCATCCTGTCATGTCCTAGCTTGTCAATGTCGTGCAATAGCACCTAGCCGTCTGTATCACATCATAGCAAAAAATCTGCGTGTCACGCGCTTCTGTTCTCTGGACTATCTTTGAGAATTAGGGTTTTGGACCCTGCGTCTGCGTCTGCGTCTGCATGGGGATTTGATCACGCGTCCGGGTCGAACAACCCTAAACGACAAAGCTCAAGCGTGAAAAGCGGAAAATTAGGGTTGGTTCGTCCATTTACATGAGCTTGTGCATGAGCGACTGCGTGTTCTTATGCGCGAGTACGGCACAGTGACGGCGAGGAGGGAGAGGCGTGGTTTCTTTGGCGTGGAGTTTAGTGAAGGGTTTAGTTGAGATCCCAACTATAACGTAGGTAGGTAGGTATGTACATAGACATTCTCTCCATCTCCCATCTCACATAAAAACATAATTATCTCACAACCACCGCAGGTTCCGTAGAACCAAACTACCATGTTTCTACCTCATCAACCAAACATCTCAAATACCACAAGACTAAAGAGACACACACCGCATATCAATATTATGCAAACTTCCCCCTCCCCACTGTATACAGTTTACAAACAAAGCACGTGAGAAGTCTGTGTGTTTTTTTCGGCTTTTAGCACTGGTGCATCGGGTCGGGGTCGGGGTTGAGAGTGGAGCAGGGTACATACATGGCACGTGGTAAGTAAGTGTGCATACAGACTAGGTAGATGCCGTATGCCGAGTTTTGCTTCTTTTGGGGGGGGGGGGGGCAGGAGGGCTTAAGGGTGGCGTTGGTGGCGTAGAATGTGGCGATGTGGCGAGGCTTGGGTGTTTGGTGCAAAGGTAGGTGTGGTTTGCGCGTGGCTGGGTTCGTTGTTTCTGGTTTGGGGTTCGGGCGGTGGATAGTGGTTACCGTAAGAGGAGGAGTGGGTAGGTAGGGTAGTGGGTCAGAGTTGGTGTAGTGTAGTGTGGTGTGCGGCTGTAGATCTGGTTCCGGGTGGCTTGCATGGGTAGCTGTGTTGCAAAGGATGTTTGGGGGAGGGTTCGGGTACAGGACATGGACTTTGATCGATTGTGCATGCCCGAATAAGGTCAATATGACGGTCATTCATAGTTCTCCATGTAGGAGGTCTATTGTACCCTTTTACATCGTCACTCGACTCGTACCACCATCCAGTTCGGTATCATCTAAACGCCCAAGCATGTACTCCCCGATAACTTCTCTGGAAACCCATTTCCTCACCTAGCATCTTCTATTCCAAAACCCCTTACACACACTCACTCTTCCTCACCACGCCATCACCCCCGCCGCCCCCGCAACCGCGCCCACAAACCCCATCTTCCTATACCCCTTCCCACGCGCCGCCCCCGTCGCCTGCCCACTCGCACTCGCTAACGTGATCGTACTCCTCACACCGTCCGTCGTCGTCGTCGTCGACATCGACATCGACATCGTTACCTCCGCACTAGTCTTTGTAACCGCCTCACTCGAGCTCGAGCCGCCCGCACTAACCCGAGTATTCGTCCCATTGATAAGCGTAACAGCCGGTCTGGAAAGCACAGGCGGCGTAGTATCAATTGCCAGACCCGTTGGCGCGGTAGATGACAGCGACGACGCGGGAGGAGTGAGAAAACTAGCATACGTCGCCGCACTACTTGGCGTTTGTTGAGTCGACGACGGTAGTAAGGCGTCTGTTGATGCTGAGGGTGTGTCGACGGTGAAGGGGGTGCCCCATGATGACGCCGCTGTTGTTGTTGTTTGCGCGCGAGAGAGGTGTGGTGTCAGACCGAGGAGGGAGAGGAGTGTTTTGCGAAGAGAAGACTTTTTCATGGTTGGTGAATGTGTACGTATGCGTGTTTGTGTGTGTGTGTGTGTGTGGTTGTGTGGTACTAAAAGGTGTTCTGTGCCTGCACGTGTCTTTCCTTCTTCCGCAAGACACAAGAGAAAAGAAAATGCACAAAAACAAAAAGGGGGATTCTTCGTTTTTGACTTTCTTTTGGAGTCGTTGCCGTTCCTTCCTTCCACCTTTGAAAAACAAATCAAACCCAGTATCCTTAACTCCGCTCCCGTCTCCCCCTTCCCGCCCTCACTCCTTGTTATTTTATTAAACATATTTCGACAAACTCCGAGACCAGCGGGCTTCGATCGCCCGCTAGTGCTCACAAGTCTGACGTAGAGTTTCTGTCGTCGTGTCGAAAGTGGTGAAACATTTACTAGTCTGAAGGTCTGATTCGTGATGTTGGGCGCAAGGGCGTGGCTGATTGGTGCGTCTCGGCTCTCCGCAATGGGTGTGCGATGGGGGCGGATGGCGCCTGCCGGACCCCGATTATGCTTACTTGTGCGCCGGAGGTGCTTGAAGAAACAGATAATGCAGGGCGTTGGCGCAGGTCAGATCTACGGTGAGTGTGGCTGACGTAAGAGTGGGAAGATACTTGGCTTATTAGGAGAGGTATCAGCTGGTGCGACGCTGATACTGAGGGTTTAGGTTGGCTGAGATTTATGATGAGTTTTGTGCACGCTGGGTTTGGAGCGGTGTTGTCATCACCAGGTGATAATCGGGTTGTCATTCTATCCTGCCTATTCGATTCCATCTACCACTTGACAAGATCCTGCACTTTCACAGGCATACCCGACTCCATGGATTTATTCGCACCAACACCGACAAGCACAGCATTACCTCCATCCCGGATATAAGCAGCACGCTTAAAGTTGTCTGCAGTATCACCAACAAGCACATCGCGCAGGAGAAGAGGATCGCCTCCGCCATGTCCGCCTTCTGACTTTTGGACTTCAACAACATACGGCTTTTCCCACAAAGGATATACGACAATGTTCGTCTTCTCTACCCCGCCTTGAATGTAGTTGGCCTCGAGGTCGCCAATACCTTCGTTGGTAACCGTCTCGCCACCAGCCGAGTATCCTCCTTCAACGACGTTGATCTCAATACGGCCTTTGCTACCATTGAACACACAGCGGTAGCCTTCCCATGGTGCATATGCGTAGGTGTTGTATGTCATGACACTTTGGTCCTTGTACTTGATAATCATGGAGAGATTGTCTTCAATGGTAATGCCATCAGCGAAGCAATTCCGGTCGCGAATGTAGCCATCCTCGTGCTCGGCCTCAAGGTACAGTTTCTTCAGCTGGGCATTCTGGTCAATGTGTATGGCGAAAGGGTCATCCTTGGCAGCTTCGTTGTTGAGATAGCGTTCCCCGAGATTCTTTTCTCCGCGTCGCTCGGCATTCTCTCGGCCGTAGAAGCGCAGGCTGCCCAGACAGTAGACCATTTCAGGCTCTGTATTGAGCCAGTAATGGACTAGGTCGAAGTGGTGGATCGACTTGTGCATCTGGATACCACCGCTGGTATCCTTGTTCCTATGCCACCGACGCATGAAGTCGGATCCGTGTGCGCAATCTAGAATCCAGTCCATGTGTACCGTTGAGATCTCGCCAATGACACCCGAGTCGATGAGCTCGCGCATCTTGGTGTGATGTGGTGCATATCGGTAGTTGAACAGAACACGAACTTGTTTGCCCGTCTTCTTCTCCGCATCAATCATAGCCTGCAGCTTCTCTTCGTCGATAGTCATGGGCTTCTCAGTAATGGCATCGCAGCCCAGCTCCATGGCTCGGATGCAGTAGACATGGTGGAAGCGGTCGATGGTAGTGACAATGACGACGTCTGCCTTTTGTTCCTTGACCATCTTGTCAAAGTCTTCTGCCTTGTACATGGGTACGCGTTCGCCGCCGATTTCGGCAATGCGGTCGTTGGCAGCCTTCATGCGCGTTTGGTTGGTATCGCAGATACCTACGACTTGGGCAACATCTTTGAAGTCTTTGATGATGCTTTGGTAGTAAAAGGCTGAGCGGACGCCCATGCCTACAATGACATAGCGCTTGATTTGAGAAGTCATGGTGAAGATGTGGATCAGGCGAGTAGAAATTTTGCAATCTCAATTGTGAATCGGCAGGACGGAACTGGACCAGTCTTGGGGACATTATATACACGTCTTCGCACTCTCGTGACACCTGTGAAGGATCCGTGTGCGTGTCCAACACAACTGGATCCTCAAATCAAAAGCCATTCTCAAGAATACATCCATCCTGTCGTGAGAAAGATAGCCCGTGAAGCTGCATATGCATATGTTTGACAGCGTATTCTGAGGATTAGTCAAGCAGGCCGCCCCGGAAAGGGTTTAGTAGTTGAATCCCCCGCACCTCACCCTGGATGGATAATAGTGGGGAGGCGGAGCCATCCGAATTCGGGTCGGCACAGGAACGAACATGACGATACAACCAACAGTATCTGAACAAGTATTTGACCCACTTTACACCAGCGAAATTGGTAGGCGTGGTCCCGACCAAAGATGGGAAGTTGCCGAGTGACTCCATCTTTCAATCTCATTGCTCGACAGTCCCGACACGTTTTCAGTAATCATGCAAATTGTCTGGCAGTCAGGTGAGACGCCGATCAAGAAACGGGCTGCATCTGCATGTACGAGTTGTCGTTCACGGAAGAAGAAATGTTACCACGTGGGTAGGCGCAATATAGAAAGAGTGGAGCGCACCGGTAGGCGGATACAACAGGAACGTCCAAGCACGACTGCACGCAAGACAAGTCCAAGTCCAGGCCGTGTAAGCGAATACAATCCAGAATCAATTCTCGCAGCCCTATCAGAAGATGCCGAACCAGGACCAAGCACTCAGATACTGGAAGCAAATACAACAGCATTACACCCCACACCATCTGCCACGACACCTAGCCTGTCTACAACATACGAAGCACAACGACGTTTAGCATGGTACAAAGAACACAAAACCCGTGCCGCTCCACCACCGCTATCAGATGCGCATCGAAGATACCTCGAAGATGAAGGAGCATTCCTCATCTTACCAAAAACAACCACTGACGCCCTCCTCCCCCTATACATATCCACATTAGACGACCTCACCCCCATCACCCACGGCACCAGCATCTTCCGTTCCCACAGCAACAACCAAGCCTCTGCCTACCTCGTCCGAGCAATCTGCCTCGTCGTCTGCAAAACCACACACGCCACCCCCTTCCTCCGCCTCACGGATCCCGGCCCCCTTCTCGAGCCCTTGGACTTCGCCTCTAGACTCCTAGCCGGCCTAGACGCGGTCATAAAAGCAGACCTCGAGCCCGACCGTGTGACCAAGATGCAAATCCTCGCATTGATGCACTTGCACAACGACGGTCTAGCAGGTGTAGACCGCGCGTCGAGTCATCTCTCCCAGGCAATCTGTGAAGCATGGTCCCTAGGTATCCATCTGAAGATACCAGACAGCCCCGACAAAGAGCGGTGCGAGTATCTGTGGTGGTCACTCCGCAACTTCGACCGCTTGGGCAAACCGATCATGGCCGCAGCGCCGTTCTTTATCGACGACGCAGACGTAGGTATCGAGCGTATAGTACCAGAAAAGGGGAACTACCGCTCACAAATCATGGCTGTAGCGCTGGGTTTGGGGGATTTGATGACGGTGGCTACCAAGGCGTATAAAGCTGGTGCTAGGGCTGCGGTGGATAGTTGTGCGGTGTTTCCGCAGCTGGAGGATGTTGTGAGGGATGTGGATTTTGAGGGGTTTCATAGGGCGCATAGACGTATGATATCATTCCTCTCCATTTCTCGTACGTCGTACTTACCAGAAGCAGTTTATCTAGAAACATGGTATCATGTCGCCGCCATGCTATCTTGTCGCTACAGCGGCCCAGGTAGCGTACAATACTCCCGCCGCTTCACCTCTGCCCATCGCGTCCTCGATCTCGTTTCTAATGAAGGCATCGACGCATTTCCCCCGTTACCGCTGGTCCCGTATGCAATGTCCATGTCTACGACGGTGATATACCGCGCGTTGCATGATGGGGAGCGTGGGATAGGTGCGGCGTGTGAGGATTTGCGGCGGTGCTGTGAGGTACTTGATGGGCTGGGGAGGAGGTGGACGAGTGTTAGGGGGGTGGGGAGGTTGGCGGAGAGGCTTTGGGGGGTTATTGAGTCGGGGGCTTTGGATGGGTTGGTGGATGGAGATGGGAGTGGGAGAGATTCTGGTACAAGAAGTACGACGGCCGCGAGTGGATGCTCTGTTGGTATCGTTCCAGAGCATGGACATACGTCGGCTTCTGATACTGTCGTCGTGGCTGTGCAGGATAGTACGACAACATTACCGCAGGAACCTCGTCTTCCGTATAACAACGAAGTCTTCCAGAGACAGCTGACGGAGATTTGGCCGGGGATAGATACTTCCTACTCGCAGATAGACTGGACTTTTCAGGATTGGTTTGATTGGGACTTGACAGGTAGTTTTGACTATGTGGCATCATAGCTTCACAAGCAAAACTCACAGGAAAAGGGTTTTTTGACATGTTCATCACATTAAGTGGTGTTCTGTAATTATGTACTATAACGCTACACCCACCCCACCACTCCCATCTCTCTTAACCTTCTCTTCGTCACTTCCAATTCCATCCCCACCTTCCGAACTCATCACTCCCTGCCCCCCACCCACATCCCCCAAATCCAACCCATCCCTCTCCCCCGCCTCCAACTCACTCGGCCTCGGTATCTCCCTCCCTCCAATCTCCCAAACATTAGCCTGCGTCGGCATCTCATTGCCCAGCGGAACTTTTGCATCGTAAAACTGGTGGTGTTGGGATGGTTTTTCATCGTCTTCATCGCCGTTGCCGTAGGAAGAAGGTGAGTATCTGGCTGCTGGTGTTGGTGTAATTGGTGATGTGACTGCGGTGTGAGGTGTAGAGGGCCATGGCTGTTGGTCTTCAGTGAGGGGGGATATGGGGGATTGGAGTGTTCCTGGTGGGGTGTATGTAGATGGTATTGTTCTTTGTTGAGGTGTTGTTGTAGGCGGGTAAGTCGTTTGTAGAGGTCTTGCTGGGAAAGTGTTGTTTGTGGGCGGCGGCGGCGGCGGCGGTTGTGGGTAGTCTGACGAAGAAGACATTGTCGCACTTGCTTCTTTATCCGCGACACTTGCGGTTCTAGATGCCTTCTTCTTCCTATGCCGAAGCAGGAGTAAAATGAAGATTCCAATCAAAGCCAATGCCGCGATTCCCCCTACTACCACACCAGCGATGAGTCCAGTCGATGGGCCTGAACTGGATTTCGACGAGGATGCGGGATTCGCAACGGCGGTCGATGAACTGAATCTCTGTGTCGTCTTCGGCGTACTGTCTGAAGATGATGCCAATCCAGTGGCAGCAGAACTCGTCACAACCGTGCTACTACTCGACGCCGTAACCTCCGCCGCAATACTCGTCGCATCCACCGATCCTCCCGTCGGCAACGCCCCAAGCACACTCCCCGCTACACTCTCAATCACCGCCGTCGGCACCGTAACACCCTTGCTCGACAACACAGATGACACATCGCCCACAATACTCGATATCAAACTGCCAATCTGCCTGCGCTGCTGCTCGTGGACCCGGCGTACGCGTTCCGCGGTGACGCTACCAGCGGCGCGACAGTGTTCATCTGTCGTAATTTCGATGATTACGCGATCGGGATGCGATGGTAGGAGTGAGGCGTAGTTTTCGAGACATGTATTAAGGTAGAGGTGTTGATCGCAGAGACATGTTGAGTTTTGGGTGGTGCAGGGGAAGTAAGATTTTATGGTCGAGGTACAGGATGTTAATGCACTAGATTGAATCAGAGTATTAGCCTTCTTCTAGTTATCAATTGATCCAACAACAGAAATACCTTGTACCTAGTATATCACCTAGCAAAGTTTATACGTACATTTTCTCATTATCCTTCTCTACCTCCTGCAACCCAGGCCACCACACCCGCACACCCGGTAACAGCGTGAGTAGGACACTCAGCATATTTCTGTTTCTCACTTCATCGGAAGGGAAATGTGGTCGAGAAATAGACCGAGAAATAGCACGAGAAAGAACAAGCAACGAGCCACAGCTCAACACCTTAAACATACAGCTCCCCCCAGCTAGTTTCGCTACCCACTACCCACTAACTTACCCACCTGCACCCGCACCCCAGCCATCTACATCCGCGACAAGAAAAAGGTGTGGCGAACAGCTTGAACCACACATACTGCATGAATCTGCCGATCCTTTTTGCACACGCCACAGAAACAGGCCAGCCAGACACGCTCTCCCTCCCTAAGCAAGCAAGAGCACAAAAACCCAATCATCCCATCATGCCGTCGTAATCCCACGCGTTTTCAGTCACAGAAACCTGTTCTCACGCTCCCTCAAATCGATGATGTAAGAAACCTGTGTGGCGTTTCCCGTGGCGGTGTCGTTAGTGGGGCTGGATTGGTGCCGGTGCCGGGTTTCCTTCTACCACGCTAGCTAGCGGGCCGGGACTTGTCTTGACAGTTTGGGCTTTCGACAGTGACAGTGACACGGCAGAAGAACTGACGATTGACGACTGGGAACTGCAGTATGTCGTGTGACTGGATAATTACATGCATGCACCGCCACAACTGTGTACGAGTACGACGACGGCGACGGCAGCGGCGAGTACACACGTACGTATATGTGATGGGACAAGAAACAAGCAAGTAAAAACTTGAAATTGAATTGGAAAACGGTATTGTGGGGGGTATGATTTTACATCCGACATGAATAGAGTCGAAAACAACTCTCACTCCTCCCACAAACCAGCGGTACCATAGAGAATGATGATGACGATGATGCGTTCGGCGCGCTCCATCCCGCTACGCTACAAAAGTAAGTAGAAGCAAAAGTAATGAAAACAATTGGGGTATTCGAAGCACCATATGCCCACAAGCCCAGCCCAGCCCATACATCACTCTCCCATAGACCACTCCACCCCACCACATTCCCCCCATCATCATCCCTTCCCATTAACCCCCTCCCCGTGCCCCTCCAACCTGCCCACCAACCGCTTAACCCCACTCCACTCCTCACTCCTCGTCTGCACGCCCCCCAAATCATCACCAACCTCAAACACCGTGACCACGCCATCCATACCGCCAACAGCCACACGCCTACCCTCATTGCGCTCCCAAGCCAGCTTATTCAGACTGCGATTCATGTAGCCCAGGCCCGTCGGCATATTAGTAAAAGCGCCGCGTTTGCCATCACTGGGCTTGACAGACTGGACGGGTACTTCGATATCGACGTTGATGTCCCAGACTTCCAGGCTGCCTGCGCCGTCGACGAGGGCGAAGACGGAGGGTTTGACGGGGGACCAGCGGACGTCGTAGACGAGATCTTCGCGCGCGATGTCGAGGACGGGTGTGACTTGTTGGGTGGCGCCGGGGAGGGTGGGGTTGGTTGCGCCGGTTGCGGCTGGAGGACGGACTTTCCAGAGCTTGACGCTCCAGTCGACGCTGGATGAGAGGACAAGGTCGCCGAGGTCGATTTGGCCCTTTGCGGGATGGAAGTCAAGGCTCATGACGGGTGCGGCGTGGCCGGCGTACTTGACGCGGCCGTCTACACCGGCTTTTGCACCTGCACGGTCGTAGCGGTGGCAGGGGTAGATGGAGCCTTCTTCTGTGCCAGCGAGGAAGTAGGTGGGATCTGATTGAGGAAAGGCAATGGCGGTTACGGCCATGTCATCCGTCTTTGCAGGCGGCGGTGAGGTCAATTCGAGGAACTCTTGTGGCTGTGAGAGCATGTCGACAGTCCAACCACATACGACGCCGTCGGTTGAACAGGAGATGATGTTGTTCGCGTTTTGGGTTCCGACAATGTCAAGTGAGTAGACTGGATGGGTATGTCCCGAACCTGTGAGCGGCGTCTTTTGTACCGGTGCCGACTTTGCACGAGTATCCCATAGCAGTACTTGGCCCGAGTATGCACCACCAACGATGAGGTTTGGATGGAACGGAGAGAACTTTGCAGTCAGAATATCCGACTGGGCATGGAATATGTACTCGGGTCGGTCGTGCATGTGCAAGTTCCACACTTGAACGAGACCGTCTGGGTCATGCGGCGCCGACGGGTTCTTCGTATAGGATGCGAGGACGAGTTCTGGAAACTACAAAGCATGTTAATGACATGGCAACAATACACAGTAGTACCTCATACCTTTGTTGAGAAGCCCAGATCAGAAATCATCCTCTTCTTGCTCCACCGCTCGTCCCAGAACTGTGCAATCTCCTTTATCCGCCGACCCTTCTTGCCGCCGCTCGAACCGTAGCCCTCGTCGTCATCGTCGACACCCACACCACCATTTGCATAGTCTGCTAGGATATCGTATCCCAACTGCTGGTCGAGCGCTCGTTCAAGGACCTTTGTACTCCGCTCCACGAAGCCAATGAACTCTTCCGAGTTCTCCACGGCGGTCAATTCCTCGTTGCTAAGCGTCTTAAATGGGAAGTTTTCTTCCGAGCCTGGTTGCGGTGCGCCATCCTGAGGCGCTTGTTGGGCGGCTTTGATTTCCTCCTCAATCTCCCTGCGCAGCTGCAACCGAATCTCCTCGTCCTTTTCCTTTTGTCTCCGACTCAGCCTCTTGCTCTTGGGTGAGCGCGTGGGGCTCTCGTCACGCTCGGTATCACTACCTCCAACACCCCTGTCCTTTGACGGACTCCAGTCTATGCATGCCTGCACACCCTTGCTGTACGTGATGATCTCCTTTTCCTTCTTGACTTCGTTGGTCACCTGGCCATCGAACTCGTACACTGTCGCTAACGGGCCTATGGAGAGCGTCTGCATCTCTCGGTCGACCATACCGGCCGAGGGATGGAAGCTCGACGACTCATTGTCGCTACTAAGTTGACCTGCACTGACAACTGAAGTTGGCCGGGTCGCTCGGCCGGGGCCTGCTGGAGAGCCAGGTTGGGTGGAGCCGGGCCTGCTTTCCCCCAGAATGCTATTGATGAGGTTGGTGACATCGGTCCTGCGGTCGAGATCTTCGCTGCGTCTGGGTGTTGGCGAAAGGACCTGACATGCGGGTTAGTCGTTGGGTAACCACCAGAGTACGTGTCCCTACTTCTCCCAAAGGACTACCAGTCATGGACTGTCTGCTCGCACTCTCGGCTCTCCTCAGTTCGCGCTGGCGCTTCAGCTCAGCGAGTTTGGCCTTTTTGGCGAGAATCTCCTCCCGCCGTTGCTGCATTGTGGACTCCATGGCGGAAGATGTGCGAGGGTGGGATGGAATGTCAGGGTTGCGAGACCGACAAGTCAGTCACAATAGCAATTCGTATACCGTGCGCCTATCGCTCTTATCCACGCCGAAGTATTTGTCTTTCACTAAAAAAATTAAAAAAACAAGAAAGAGGACCGGGTAAAGTAAGCAGGCGCGTCTTCCGTAAGTTGTGTGTTCCCGTCGCGCCAAGCTGTTGTTCAGGGACGAGGGCACTAGCTCGCAGCGAGACAATGCCGACCAAATCTTGCGCCCAGGGCCAACCTCAACTTTCACAGCTCCAACGCCCAACATCCCGCATCCCGCCCCGACGCCCGAGTCCCCCTCTCCGGACCCCACAAAGCGGTGTAGTCATCATCGCTGATCCGGAATACTTGCCATTGGAACATATACGAGGCCGCCCGCGCTCATCCAAAGGTTCCCCTCGCACATCCACAAAAACAAAGCAGCCGTCACCATGTCTACGTCAGTCGGTGTTAATGTACGCCCTCCAATTCCCATGGAAGATACAAGTCTTGTCGCACCTCACTTATCAAAGCGATTTGCTGGAGACATGTCATGCGATACAGGCATCCCAGAGATGATGACAAAAGCATCAAAACGCTAACCCATCCTCTTCACAGGTACTCCGATGGTCCGCCCTCGGCTTCGGAGTCTTCTACGGCGCCTACCACCAACTCTCTCTCTCGGCCGCCGACCGAGCAAAGGCCGCGCAAAAGGACTGGCAACACAAGGAATCGCTGATTAGGCAAGCGAAAGAGCAATGGGCACGAGACCACCCTTCAGAACAGCCAAAGAAGTCTTCGGGAGGTACGTCATGTCTGTCCTGAAGCTACCTTCACACTGGAAGAAGCGACTACATTACATTACAGAAATGACATACATGTGCTAACAACTCCCCGCAACAGCAAACGCAGACCCAAAAGACCCCAACGCCGACCTCCACGCCCTCCTCGGCATAACCGACAAATAAACGTAATTCTTCGCTTTCGACAACAAAGAAGAAGAAGAAGAACTCTGTTCCCTTATGTGTGTGTGAAGTTGGTTAGCACGGCGGGGGTTATCAAAGCCGGCCGCGTTATCTTCCTCACACCCTAACTAACGCCAGTCGAGTGGGTGAGAAACAAGTAGTAGTGGTAGTCAATTGTGGTACGAACAGCTATGAGATACCAAATCTTCTGTACTCTGTACCTTGCAATGTACAATATAGACGAACGGGGTTTTGGTTCGAGGTCACGTTCCTCTCTCTCTCTCTCTCTCTCTCCAATATAAACATACATCATGCTCAAGTTGGGGTACATATGTAATCACCACCACGTCATTGCCATGTCGTGATAACGTGATTATCGTTAGCCCCACCATCGTAGCTATGTCACCACCACCACAAGAACACAATTTTTACATGTCTCAAGACGATATATTCTATACACGGTTTCTCATCTGTATGTCTGTCTGTCTGTCCGTCTGTCTGCTTGTCTGTCTCGTCTAGCGCACGCAACCCGCAGGTAACGTGACTACTACACACCAGCCAAACCAAACCAAACGAACTTAAACCAAAAAAAACGAAAGATGAAGCGGAGCCACACAGAAAACGCCCTGCAACCCTTTTACTACTAGAAGAAAAAATAGCAAGCAGGGTAACAGAAGAGTAGAAATGAGTTGTAAACAAAGCGTTGTAGAAGAGGAGAGAGAGCAAAAAGTGAATTGCACCCCTCCACACAACACACACGCTTTCGTGAGCCTTTTCACTCTTTTTTACCCCTCCCCACCATACCAAACCGAGCCGAGCCGACTACGCCAATCCTGGATAATTCCAGCCAGCCGGCGAAGAAAAGGGCGAAGGAGGGGGGAGGAAACGAGAGTGGAAAAAAGGTACCCGTCGTAGTTGCACACGTCTTCCAAAAAAGCCTACACTGACTAGAACCCGTAAATGACGGTTCCGTCCGTTCGTTTCAATTACCCAAACACTAATCGTCCCGTTTTCCTTATTCTTGTTTTTTTTTACAAAACCTCGCCCACAATCTTGGCTGCTTCCTTGTATGTCTTGAGCAGCTTCTCGCACTTCTCGCGCTCGGCTTTGATGGTATCATCCTCGTACAGAAGCTCCTGGAACAGGTCTTCTTTGTACAGCGTTGAGACGAGCCTATTTTGTACCACGTCCTTTGAGTGGTTGACGAGGAGATGCATAATGGCCTTTGGCACCTGATCCGCCACTGTCTCCCGGACAATGTTGAAGTATGACGAGATGAGGCGGCGGATAAGCTCTGTCTCGAGGGCTTCGCGTTCTGTAAGAGCGGGTGCTTGTTCGGGGTTTGATGGCTATCGAGTATTAGTACAAGAATAAAACATCATCAAGGGTGTGGACTTACAAATCCGCCTTCGTAGTTCTCTTGTGGTCCTACACTTGGACTTCGAGGTGCAGAAAATGCAGCACTCAATGGGGCGTCATAGTCATCCGACGAGTCCGGAGGCATCATGGCCAAAACATGTGCTGGCTGCTTGTTGTCGCCTCTCCGAATGCTTTGTGCAAAACTGGGTTCACTGTTTTGGCTGACGTGCCGGCTGCCGGGACGGTTGTCAAGGGCTGCCTGTGCTGCCTGTTGTGGGTTGGCATATGCATTGTTGCTGTCTTTGCTGAAAAAGTAGTTCAGGAAACTGTCGCGGGCGGTACCAGGAGGCGACCGGTTGCGGCTGTTAAGTGCTGCTGTTGTACTTTGAGAGCCGTTCATCATACGTCCAACCGCTGGTGACATGCTGCGGCTGGTCTGAGACTGGTGTTTTCGGAGAGGAAGCGCTTTCAGTGTTTCACCACCTTCGCCCTCTTCGTTTGACTCTCCGTTGGTACCATTTTGCAGTTCTTTTATCCTCCTCTGTTCTCGCCTCTTCTTCTCGGCCTCCATTGCAATCTTCTTCTCCCGTTGCTCCTTGTCGTTGATGACAGAAGACATGGCGGCAGCAGCCCCGAGGAAGTTGGGGTGATTTGTGTTGATGTACGCTCTTTGAATGTCAATGAGAGAAGCGACATATCCAGAGCAAGGGCCGAGTTGTTCTCGCAGAAGATCAGAGACGACTTCGATGAGCTTGCCCTGCAGCCTTGGGTACCTGGTCAACTCGGTGGAGCCGCAGGTATGGCAGATCTTGATGAGCTCTTCGTATACAAGTTCTACACAGCGTTGGCTAGGAATCTCCAAAAGCTTAATCTGAGGCTTCACGAGAAGATCAAAAGCCAATTCAGGCACGAACAGACTTGGACGGGGACCGGTCGAGTTGCGAATTGCCGTCCGGATGTCCAGCACGGAAAGGTTCTGAGTGGGGTCGACTTGCTCGAGAGAGTTGCCAAAGACAGAGTTGAAGATGTAGTATATCCGTGCACCACCGCACAGCTCCTTGGTCGAGATTTCGGTAGAGGTACCGTCGATGGAAGAGATGAAGGAAGAGGCGAAGCGGGTCATGAGCTGTAGGATGAGAGAGCCACGGTGCTCTTTGCCAGTAAAGGCAACATCACCGTAGCTTGCAAGCTCCTGCTGTGTTTGTCCCATAAGAGTGTTGAGGCGGGCCTTGATGTCGGGTAACCGATCACGGATGTGAGCCATGAGGGTCTGGTTAAGGCTCTTGGCAAGCAGCTGGGTACCACATCGGTTTGCCATATTCCGGTAGGCGGGGTGGTGTCTGAAAAAGTCGCGCTCAGCCTGGAGGGCATCGGAAAGCGACTTGTTGCCCTGGATGTCCTGTTGTGATCGGTTGACGATACCAATGAAACCAAGTTTGAGGGGGTATACACGGCCGGAGAGAATATCCATGGCGTTTGTTCCGTGGTCCATGAGATCCAGCTTGGTAAGGACACCAATCGTCCTCTTGCCCATGGGGTCGACATGTCGGGCCAACTTGAGAGCTTCCGAGTTGACGAGATCGACGTTGGCGGGGGAGACGGCGAGAATGACACTGTTGGGCTTTGCAATGTACTCGGTGATAAGGTTCCGCGTCTGCTTCTCAATGTCCGAGGGCTGGTCGCCAATGGGCACCTGCAGTGGTTAGCTCAATGTGCCTGGCAAAAAGTTACAATCCTTCGCCCACCTTTGTCAAACCAGGCAAATCAACGAGCGTCAAGCTGAGCACGTGCGGCGAGTAGATTTTGAGGTTTATAGGCTGCCTGTTGATGCCCTTGTTGTTTCCTGCTATTCTCGACGTCTCGTTCTCAATCTCGCGCTTGACGTCGGCAAAGTCGTAGAAGCGCTGGCCGGGAATGTGCAGGAACTCTCCCCACTCCTGCTGACCGGCAACACTCGCTGGGGTATGTGGGACGTGGACCTCGTCATCGTCGTCTTCGTCGCGTTCACTGGGGAGGTTGATGAGTTGCAGAATAAGCGGTCGGCGTGTGACGATGCCGCTCCCACGGGGGAGGAAATCTTTGCCGACAATGTTCTCGAGCACGGATGATTTTCCCGACGATTGTGAACCGACGACAACCTGCGGGGGTCAGTATTGAAGTCTTTGTCTGCGTGGCATCCTCGTCGGTCCAAAAATCTGCTCTGCGCTCACCGCATTCACTTTGCTGGCTGGGGCGCACGTACAATCTGGGGTAAATCTAGGGAATCATTTCCAATCGTATTGAAGACCAAGTCCTGCAGCCTGTTGACAATGTTGAGGAGCTCCTCGCCCAGCGACGCCATGGCGCTGGTTTGTGTGTGAGTCGTTTCTTCGCTCCTTGATGGGCCGAGTAGATGTTGAGCAGCCAGACAACACTACCAGAGGTTGTGAAAGCTGGAAGTCGAGTTGAGGGGTGCAGGAGCAAGCTGCGGATGATGCAGAGGTTGAGTCGGCGGAGTTGACGTGGCTGATGGGTGCTTCGTTGGGAACAGAGGCTCGTGATGGGACTGCCTTTGCTGCAGCTCCGTCGTCACTTCGCTTGAAAGTTCCAAGGTTTGATGATGGGCACGTGACAGCATCGCAATTCCACCCCACGTCTACTTCACATGTCTCCTTAATTTTATAAAACGCCGTAAATGCTTTTCGCATAAAAGGAGAGACGGCGTGGACAATCTCTACAAGCACATCCGTGCTGCACACAGTGAGCACGAGGCTGCCCACGGTCCTTGGTCGCGAGCCCTACAAACGCCACTACACGCGACGTTGCCGACGCATGCAGCTCGGCTCCAAGGCCTAATATGGTACACACAAACTAGGACAGCGTATGCAGACAAGTCAAAGAGTTACACCGCCAGCTCAGACGCCATGTCAGCACTTTTTTTTGGTGAGGCGGGACTGGGGCCTGCCACCTGTACAGACTGGGGTACAACGCAAGAGTCGCAGCCTGGCTTTGCAGACTACAGTAGCGCCCACATTTGCTTACACCAACTTCAAGTAGCCATGAGCCTGGCCCAAACACGACTTATCGCATCGCCCGAGAAAGCACCACAGTAAGACGCCCGACTCTGGCTCGCTTTCGGGTATTGTCGGACCCTCGGCGACTTCCCAGGTACCAACCCGACCGCTATCTCTCCAAGCTTACCTTATCTCTTTGTAAAACGGCGGCCAGGCACGACAGCACTGAATTATCAAAGAACTTCCCCAGCCCATATCTCCGCATCTTGGGGAATGCACTACAAATGCCACACCGCGATGCAGTCTAGCACTGATTTGGTCTACCAAGTACGCAATCGCAGCATCCAACACCACCATCTCCCCGTATAAGCCGATAGGTGCGATGCCGTCTAACTGAAATGTCGTCTCCTGATTGAGTTTCTCTTCCGAAGTTGCCTATCAACATGATAAGACTCGTTATCAGACTCACCGTAAATAAAGGGAGAAGGAGCATCTCACTGCAGTACAAAGGTAACGTGCCCTCCCTTGTTTGTCCAACGTCTACTATCTATCATCACACAACTCCTCTTCAATTCTGCCCTATAAATCTCTATCGAAATCTCTTGCTCTCCTGTCCAACCTCTCCTACTTCAATCATTCCTCCGACGCCTTTCATGGCCTCGGAGTCTCTTATCCTCACTACCACCCAAGACCAACACAACGACGTCACAGTCGGAACCATAACATGTACCGCACCTATCCCGTTTGGAGGAGAGGAGCAATGGCTCTACCTACCCGCAATCAAAAAGTTCGACCTGTCTCGGGGAGCAGAGAAAAAGATGATTGTCGAGTGCGATGAGGAAGGGCGTCACCACACCGGCTTCATGATCAACCCCGGTACCGCGGTCTTGATCATCGTCGATATGCAAAACTATTTTGTCCACCCAATCTATCGCGACCATGCAGCAGGAATCGCCGCAATCAAGCCAACCTTGAAGGTTATTGAGAGATGTCGAAAGGAAGGGATCCAGATTGCATGGCTCAACTGGGGAATCACCGACCACGACTTGACGAAGATGGCACCCGCCATTCAACGAGGCTTCAGCAAGACCTTGGGATGGCATGTTGGATTGGGCGCCGAGCTGCCTGATAAGCAAGGAAGATGCCTGTTCAAGCGCACATGGAACGCCGCTCTGTACGAGCCTTTCCAAGCAGTCGCTCAACCCGGAGATCTATTCTTCGACAAGTCGCGGATGAGCGGTCTATGGTCCGAGAAGGAGCCTTTGCACGAGTATCTACGAGCATCAGGCAAGCAGACTTTGTTGTTTGCTGGTGTCAATACCGACCAATGCGTGTTCGGCACTGTATCCGACGCTTATTCCTACGGATGGGATTGCATCCTACTCGACGACTGCACAGGCACCATGACCGGCCGAGGAGCTCAAAAGCTTACAGAGTATCAGGTTTCTCAGAACATGGGCTTCGTCACCAACAGCAGTGCTTTCTGCAATGCGAAGATCGCTGAGCGTTCTGAGGGCTGTTGAGTTTATTGATTTCTTTCGATCGGCCATCTTCTACGACCGATTTTGAGCGTGCTATCCGAATACCCGTTTACCCATCACACAGTTAGAACAATCGAATGTATCCACATGACAATTCAGCGCATCGTCCTTATCTCGTGGTTGTCCGTGCCCAATCAAGGTTGAGTTGCCGAAAAAAGAACGTTGATCTGCAAAGTTGAGACACGAATGACGACACATGAGTGGGGAAAGCTTATTGCAGCAACTACCTCATGAAATGTCATCATTCTCTTCAACTCTAAATTAAAGTTGCTCAATTGTATTTAACACAACTCTCGGGCAACGCTGAGTCTTAGGGAGCAATTTTGACATCAGGAATTCATCTCAACGACATCATGGTCCCCCAGACTCCTGTCATCCTCGCATGCTTGCTGCAGCTCTGTGGAACTGCAGTAGCGCTACCAACGCAGCAAGCACCACTCCTCCTCAACGGCCCCAAAAACGTCCAAGCCGTCCGGGCAAAGTACGCCCATCGCGTATCCCACTACATACAACCACCCATCCACTAACCAACCACAGGCTCCACAGCGCCGAGATAATCCCCACAGGTACCACCACCCACCAGTCTCAGCCTCGCATCCCATCCACTAACCACACCCAGTCATCGACGACTTCCTCCCCAGCCTCACCCTCTCGATAACATGGCCATCTGTCCACGCTAAACTCGGCAACACAATCCCCCCCGTAAACCTCACACACCAACCCACCGTCTCCCTCCACGACGACACAAGCCCCGATGGCAAACATATGACGTCGGATATGTCATACGTGCTCACGCTCACGGACCCAGATGCGCCGTCGCGCGATAACCCCGAGTGGAGCGAAATGTGTCATTGGATCGTCGCCAACCTTACCACCGCACAGCAGACGTTTTCGATACTACCGATCCCGGAGTTTGGCGTTAGTGTTGAGTCAGAGAAGGAGGGTGAGGGTGAGGGCCAGGACGGACTAGAGGATATTGTGGAATACAAGCCACCAGGTCCGCCGCCCGAGACGGGGAAACATCGTTATGTGTTTTTGGTGTTTGCGCCGAAGAATGGGACGACGGAGAGGTTGAGGTTGAGTAGGCCGGAGAGTAGGAGACATTGGGGGACAGGTAAGGAGAGGGGTGGGGTTAGGGAGTGGGCAAGTATGAATGGGTTGGTGCCTGTTGCGGCGAATTTTATTTATTCGCAGCATGAGGAACAGTAGGTTGGTGGTTGTAATGTAGGATGTGTGTGGGATGCAGAGGTTGAACGGTGGGCTTAATGGATAAGATACACGATGGTGCTACACGGTCGAGACGAGTAATGACGTGTCTGGCGACTACAGTAGCTTTTTTACACTAGTATTTCTAGTATTTTATGACACCCGGGTGGTCGTTGGAGATACACCACGGTTTTAATTAATAATACTAGTTAAGCGCACACACACACACACACACACGTTTTCATCCTTCACATGCTAGTGATGTTAATAGAAAAAGTACCATCCGAGAAACAACGGAAAGGGGACTAAAATGACACAAAAGAATACATTCATATATGTCTACATCAACCGTATTCAAACAGCATGAAAAGGAACCGTCCGCCCCCTCCCCTCCCCCACACTCCCCGACGTCCGACAACTAGCCGGCGCACTCAACCCCTCACTCAACCCCTCCCCCCTCAGCCCCCCCTTACAATCCCCCATCTCAATCGCACTCGTAATAAACTGTGGATCATCATCACTACAATCATCCCTCTGCTTCCCCAACCCGCCATTAATATCCTCCTGACTCTCCGTCCTCCGGAAAATATCCCTAAACCCCCTCGGTATATGCGGCGGCTCAGCAGCAACAGCAGCAGGTTCAGGCCAGTAAACGCGCGTATGTTGCGACGACGACTGCTGGTGGTGTCTTGTAGTAGACCGATCCTCCGGTGTCGTTCCCGTGTACGTATTCGAGTTCCAATTACGCAGTTTAAAGATGCGTTGGATGAGTGGGTATGTAAGCGGGAGGTTTGCGCAGAGGATCGCGGTGTAAGATTCGCGCAGGTACCAAATCGTCCATTCTGTTCCAAAGGGGTGGGTGAAGGAGTAGTATTTATTCAAGGCGGCGGCGACGATGGTGAAGGCGCCGATGCAGAAGATGAAGAAGAGGATGCATTTTGTTTTTTTGGGGAGGCGCACTTTGAAGAGGAGGGGCATGGGGATTAGGATTATTATTAGGTCGCTGGTTATGTTGAAGACGGCGTTTGTGATGAGGTGGTTTGTGGCGGCTGAACATTGTTCTTGGTTTGTGTGTTAGTTGAGGGGGTGGGTTGGGGTGGGTAGGGCGGACGGACTTGACTGTGGGGGTACGGCCCAGTATTGGTTAAAGGGCCTGCACCATACACCGAGATATAATACTTCCATGACAACGAACGAGATACCGACGTAGACGGCTGTCCAGATGACAATTTTGTGTTGCGGTAACACCATGGTCATGCGGTTGTACATGATGAGGAGACAGGCCTTGACAAGCCAGATAGTAATGAGTTGCATCTGCTCGACCACAAGAACGAGCTTGGAACCATATATCCGAGTGTGAATTTCCGCTTCCGAATACTTTGATACATCGTCACCGGGCGGTATCAGGTTGCTACTGGTCTTTGCTACCTCATGCATGATGGTGATGAGCACTGTGTCTGTTGCCTAGACATAATCAGCATGTTGTATGTGTATGTCACTACATACCCAAAGCTATGGGTCGGGTCAACACTAACCATGGCTACAAGGATCAGGTAGTCATCTGCTTGGAGCAACTTCCATGATCCACGATGTAATCGCCGCGAAAGAAGGCGTACAATGACAACGATCCAGCAGACGCCATAGAAAATGCCCGACTCGGGATCTAGCACTCCCATGGGAACGGACATTTGGTTGGCTCAGCAGCCGGCACTTGTCGCGAGGGGATGACGTTGTGGTCCGGCAAAGCGTCTGGCGTCTGACCTAGTGTGTATGTGGGGGCGGGAGTTGCTTCGGGGATTTTGGGAGTTGACGCCGAGTGGAGTTGGTTCAGTGCGGGTGGTTCAGTCCGGGTGTAACCTTGTGGGAAAAGTGTTTTGTGAAAAAATAGTGTTTTTGCCGGGTCGTGACAGCAGGAAAGCAAACACCAGGTATTAGCAGTACATAAAAATGCTAGCGAGTACCGGACATCCGGTTTGTGCAGTCTCAAGCGCGGATGTGAGCGTAGTATACACTCGGCATTACTTTGTGATAGCGGCGGCTTGGGTCACCGGCACCTTCACATGGACGGTGACTATGGGCGCTGGGATGTTGCTTGGGCGTTTGTATGTCGCTGTGGGGTTATCGCTATCGGAGCTGCGTGGGGCTGGTGTCGCTCTGGGGTACGTCAAGTCGCCAAAGGGTTGCTTTTTTTCTCGACTCGGGGTAATCCAAAGTGAAAAAGGGTTGAGCAGTGAGGTTTCCTGAGAGGGACCCACGAAGATCGTGCCTCGGACACCCAGGGAGCTGGAAGCGCCACTTCTGATGGACTGGCCATTGTGCGTTTGCAGTTCACGAGATCTGCGCAAGGCTCCATAATACCCACAGCTTTGACACTTGTGGGTCCGTTTGTGGCGCGCTTGACCATGTGAAGTCGTCCAACCCAGGCTTGGGGTCAGGGCCGCGGTATTATGGCAGACCGGAACTTTGTTGCGACCACTGCGGTCGAAGGAACAGGTTCCATGTTACAGCAAATCATAAATTCGCAACCCGCATGACCGGAGTCTCCATTGTTAGTTTGGTGACAGTGTTGCAGATTGCGACTTCCAACGTCGCTGTGCAATATGCGTGGAACCGTAGATGGCAACATCTCCTATTGGATCTCCTGTATGCAGATGGACTTAAGGAGGAAGTTGTGTTGAGAGGTGCAGCGGGACGCCTGAAGCTCGGAGAGCTGAAGCCGACTCGAAAACTTCTGATCACGCCTATCGAGTCCGGGTGGTGACATGTTGTCGGTTGGAAGCGACGGGCAGACGGAAGCCATGGGAAACTGTAATTCCCCAGCTTCCATCAATGGCAGGTGTTTGAGAGCTGAGGGTACGGGCGGTAAGGCAAAGTGCACATGGCGCCGGCTGCGCGCGATGCCCACGTGCAGGGTGAACCCTTGGAAGGGAGTGCCGTCGTGGAGCCTTGGCCGCCCTACAGACGTTAGCCGACCCGTTAAAACTTCTGTCGTCCATCACAGAATGCGGTAATTTTACCCTCAACACACGACTCGCAAGTGAGGCTGAGGGCTTCGCTTCAACTTGTTTGCGTCAATGCGTGCTGAAACATTTCGACCAACAACAGCGCTTAAACGGCATCGACATGTCAAGGGCCCAACCTCTCTTAGCTAATCGGTACTACCCTCCTCGCAAACCTCGCCAGAAACACACTGAGAATCAATGCAGTGCAGTATAATCATGTGGTATATTGCGCTCAAAACAGGTTCTATATCGCTTAGTTTTACTTAATGTTTGACAACAAGGTACTTTACAAATGCTCCACCCCACGCCGTTGAAACCCCTCCTCACTTCCCTTGCCCGAGGTCCCGATAGAACGTTTGGACTTCTGCACGAACATCTCGCTGAACCCTGTCCTCTTGCCAAACGTCACCCTGGTGTTCCAGCATGTCACTCCACTCTTTCAGCAAGTTGCTCCTGTCGCTCCGCCCCGCGAAATGCAGCAGATAATCTCCTCTTCTTACGAAGTATTCCTTCATCCCTTCTATGTTTTCTCTTTTGTCGAACAAGTCTGCTCCGCCTTCCTCGTAGCCGTTGAACCAGTGTTGCGGTACGTATCGCGCTTGATCTTTGAATTGGTCCTCACGAAGGACGTGCTCCATGGCGGATTGCTCGGTAAAAGGTAGGTCGACATCAGGCTTGTAATGCCTGAAGGCGAGAATGGCGGTGAAGAGGTCAATGGCCCAATTGTTGACGCGAAGCATGAAGATGCCGTTGTTGAGGCCGTTCCAGTCTTTCGTAACGAGCATGTGTGTCTCGTTCTTCGGGGCATCATCGTTGCGGCCCCACAACGAACCGCGGAGCGCTTCGTCTGATGGCGGCAGAAAACTCGTTATTGGTCGACACTGGTCGAGGATGAGTGTGTCGCGATCAACCCATTGTATCCATTCCAGTCGATCCTTCTCGGGCTTGAGCATCTCCTGCATGAGAAGGTTGAGTATGAATGCTGGCTTGTTCCACAAGTCATCGACCATCGCATCGCACATAACTCTGACCTCTGTTCCATGGACCAGAGCGTGAAGGAGATGTGTCTTTAACGCTCTTTGGTAGTGTTCCTGTGGCTCGCCAAATTGCGCTGTGACGGTCGCGACGCGTGCTCTTCCCGCCACGAATGGCGAGTACTTTCGACATGTCACGCGCTTTGCTGCAGCTTCTTCAAGCAACTGAGGCGATGTTTCCGGTAAACATTGCGAGTCACCGTGGGCGGCAAATTGCTGTAACGGGCGCGTATGTGGCCTCTGATACGGTACTTGCAGAGTCTTCAAGGTCGGCATATGATACCAAACGATGATGGGGAAGCCAATGAGGAAAATAGAAAGCCATACAAAGAACTTGCTGGTGAGAAATCTCGGAGAGGCGTACATTACAGGTAACGACAGGAGGAGGAACTCAAGGAAAACAGAAGCAAGTCTAAGGCTGTCTTGTTTCGCTTATTCAACCCAGCCTTATTTAAAGAAAGAGAACGGGAATTGAAACGAGGTAGTGAGGTGATCCAAGACATGTCCAAGGAATCAAGCAGACAGATGACGAGTCCTGCGACCGGTTAGTCGCCTTGGAAATACAACGCCCACACAGGCATGCCCAGGCCCTTCTCGTACTTTTGCGGCCGCATTTCCCACGGTTACCCCGGAATCATCATGCTTGCGTTTCCATCACAAAGCTTACTGTTGCTTGTCTTCAGCACACAGACTACGATCTCAGATGTATTTCGAAATCTGTACTAGTTGGTCGGCCCGCTTCTTTAGCGGATTGCCAAAATTACCGCCTCCGCAGCGATCTGACTTGACAGACCACAGTTTGTGATCAAGGGGTACAGCCAAAAATCGTCCGTGGATATGGTGGGTATACGGGTTGACACTTGTCTAGGACCTCTTGGAGTATATCACGCGTCAGAACTGCGCATCACCATCCTGACGGACACGTTCGAAATAAGTCAACTCTACAATCTGCCGACAGAGTGCCATCATGGACGAAGTTGTCTGCTCGGGGAGAATTCTTGGCTGGTCATGTTTCTTGGCTCATTAGCAACACCGGCACTCCCTGTGCCGCTGAAACGTGTCGAATTCTCCGACTTTCATGCTTGGCTGACAGGAATACGGGCATGGATACGAACTACTCCTAGTAAGCCTTGGCGACTACTACACCTGAAGTGCATGATTTGCACGGTAATTGCTAAGCCCTACTCAGCATTGCGCAGTGTTTAAGGGGACCGGTTGCTGATGGGTAAGGTATCGCGATGGGAGCTTGGTATACTTTGGTGTTTCTTGGCGACTGCCGCCCCTGACGTGCGCAATACCCGCTGAGCCTCTCAGTACGCCTCAGCCTCCGCGATGTTGGGGGGTTTCGTTGTCAGTAAGCTGGGCTTTGCGAAAGGCTGACAACGTTTCTCAAGTTCTGCGTTTGTCCATAGTAGGAATGATGACCTGTTGATACATGCGAGGCGTACCGAATGAATAAACATCTAGGTGTCATGAAATACTTGACAGTGTGGGTAAGCGCACAATAGCCATGTCTAGCGATTACACTGGCCTTTTTACACTAGCATGTCAACATTTTTGACACCCGGGTGTGAGTGATGTGTGGATCAGTGCGGAACTGTTGACTTCACTGGGCTTCGATGATGTGTAACATGCTGAGATAAACGGGTGCATAGTGTAGCTTGCGATTTCCAGTTTGCAAGAGAATCTAGAAGTGCTGGACAGTTGGGGTAAACGGACGATTAACTTGGCGCGATACGATAGTCCTGTAATCGCCTGGTGTTGCGCATTGTGTTCTGTTCGGCTATTATCGGTCACGTCATCGCTGCGCCCCACCTGTCTTGCTTGATCTAGCCGAGGGGTCCTGCCTTTTCAACTCTGCTTTCCTGCCGCACTGCCTTATGTGCTCGTGGTTATTTATTATAAAATCTGTTAGTCCTCCATCAAATCAGCAATTCCAGCTTCATCTTCAGTCGTATAGTGGTTAGTATTTCCGCTTGTCATCGTCTACACGACGGCAATTTCGCGGGAGACCTGGGTTCAATTCCCAGCTGGAGAGCATTGCAATTATCTTTTTGCATTTATGTACTACTTTTCTTTTTTGCTTGGTGGGGGAGATGGGAAAAATGATGTGCGCACAGAACACCTCTTTTTGCATTCTTGACGTATTGGCACCCTCCTAGATGACGTAAAATACTTGATATACGAGTGTACAGAGGCTGTTGTAGGCGCCAGGCACACCTATTAGGTGGTGCATACCTACAATTTCAAGGATCATAACGCATACGACGATCCAAAATAATCATTTGCGTGTCATCCAGGTGTCGGTAAGAAGGAGACAGACATGGTTTCTGAGATCAAGTATGGGGATGCGCGTAACAATGACACCTTTGTTAACAAAATGCTCTTCACTGGTATTGAGTAAGGCATGTTAAGAGGGGACTGGCCGCAATCAAGATTAGAAAGAGCGTCACTTTCAGAAGTTCAGAAGAATATGAGTGTGTATTAATCGCTTAATGCATGCTTATTCTCCAGAAAGAAAGTGGTATTCCTACAGAAGTTATAGTAGATACCAGTACGAAGGTCTAAGCCTCGTAAAGACGGAATCAGTACCTGTCCTATACATGTATATTATTTGTCTTGCCATGGTCAGATCAAGTGATGAAAAGGACACGGAGGCTAAATTCCTTGGAGATCACCGCTATCGTCAACAGCAGCTTCATCCAACGTAGCAATAGCATTGTTCGCATTCAGAATTGCCACCATCTGCGCAATCTGAGGCTTTTGCTCCTTCCATATCTTCAAGCACTCCAACTCGCGATCTACAACGTCCTTGGACCAAGTCATATGATTAGGATCCAAGTCCTCATACCGGTGTGTTGAAACACCCAGATTCGATAGATCGAGCACCTTTTCCTGCCACTTGTTGAACAACTGGCACAACTTTTGCAGGTCCGCGTACATGGCAGTTCTCTCCTTGACGAGTTTTCTGAGAGAAAATCGAACGCGTTTGGATATGGATGCTTCTTTTCGGAGCAGCATGAGCGCCTCAATGGCGTGGTTTTCGGCAACCTCCATGGCGGATAACTCGCGCAAAGGTGGAAAATTGCTCCAGAGTGGAGTCATGTTGTCGAACATCCAAATGTATCCGTAGTCATCGCGGTCTTCCTCGTCTATTTTCGAGCGTAAGAGTTTGCGTCGCATGCCGCGCAGACTGTCTTCTACGTGGTTGTAGGTGTATGGATAGTCTTTCGTTTGCTCCATCACCGTCTTGAGGACTCGCTCTTCCCTGAAGAAGTTCATCAGCATACGCTTCCAGTTCTTCACGCGGATGGATAGGGTGTTGCCGGGTTCGTCGCTGTTTTTACGCTCCACTAGCTCGATGTCGAGCTCGTCTCTGTCTTCAATGCCAAAGTCTAGAACCGCAGGTCCTATCTTGACGCACCAACGTAGCTGTCCATACACCTGTGGCGGATTTTCAAGATCGAGGCACTGTCTCACATGGTCCCCCCACGCGTTTCCCAGCGCAAACGTACCACCAATCCGTCTGAAGGTATCAAACCAAGCCTTGTCTATGCGGAAATGCGCGCCATCAGGCTCCCACGCTGCTTTTCCGTCAGGTTGGTCATCCATACGATCGAACGTCGCTTCGACAAAGGTGAAGTCCCAATAATCCTTTGGAGCCAGATGCGTATACTTAAAGAGGCGCTCTTCTTTTGGACTGAGGTAGCTAATTAACTCAACACGCTGAATCGTGTGATACAGAAAATGTGTATCCATGTCTTTCGTGATGTTGCTGGAGAGCAAGCGAAGATCTAGAATTTGAGCAGGGTGAACGTGTTGGAGTACGGCAAGTATGATTTCGGGTGGGAGGCGAGGTGTGGAGGCAGCGGCGTGATTGGGCACTATATCGTGCTCTGTGGACGCCTGTGTATTTGTGGGACAGTTGACCATGTCTTCTATGTCTTCTCCTTGTCCTTCTTCTTCCTCTTCTTCTTCCTCTTCTTCTTCCTCATACTCATCATCCAAAATTACTCACTTCCTCTTATGTGGATTTTCCACTTCAGCGGTGGAATCATGCGGGAACTGCGGAAACTCGCAGCCTTGCTCACTATGATATTCCTCTGTGCTCAGGCGACGCTTGTGTAGATTGTCCATGATCGTTCTATTCATCGGTTTCAAGTAGAGAAAGGGTTATGACTAAGATGATGTTGTTCGGCGGGTGTTGGGAGGAGAGCAAAGAAGGTTGCTGAAATCTGAAGGGGTCCAGGAATAGGTGGCACGGTCTGTGAGATCTGCTAATTAGATTAATTCGGCACTTTGCGATGTGGTCGGGATTGCAGTCGTCTTTTTCGAGAGAGGTTGTTCTAATGCTGCGAAACTGTGCGATATTTATTCTCCAGGGCAGTCTCTAGGCAGTAGTGCTATCCAAGGTTAAGCAGCAGCCCTACTTGAGTTAAACTCTAGTACTCATATTTATATTAAATTAAGAACCAAGTTTGAGATCCGCTTAAACCAATTTTTACTCGACGCATAATACTATGCTGACCAGCAGATTTTGAAAGTTTCTTTAATCGACAACGACAAGAAGATTCAGGATTAATATAGTACATTGGGGCGACGGCATCTACAGGAAATACTCCAAGCCTTGCTCCTCGGGGCTCTGCTGTGTGGTCTATGCGATAAGAGTAAAACACATCGGTAGAGCTCTCGTCATATCACGTAATCAATGATTTTTTAATCTCTTACGCCAAGGATAGGTACCGTGGTACTGCCAAGGGGATGGAAACTTCACACGCACACGAAAGAATCACCCCCTCATGCCCACATCGGCAAGTGTGCTTTCGACAAAGCTCATCCAGTGGAAAAAGAAAAGCTTGCGTGCTTAGTTCTCAGATAATCTCAGGCAGTAAGAGATGCAGAAGTAGTATGGATAGGTTTCGAATATATACACTTCTCATTCCCGCAAAGGCATTACCTATTGCAGAAACTATCGCGCGCTCAAAAGCAAGCGCACCTAGGCGTCATAAATCACTTGACAGTGTAGGATAAGCACCTGATAGGTGTGCCTGACGACTACAAGAGTCTCTGTACACTAGGATGTCAAGTATTATATAACACCCAGGAGAGCGCCAAAGAACCGCGAGTAAAGTCCTCAAACGACTGCATTAGGAATCCTCAGCTTCCAGATCCTTCAAAAGCCTCGACAACACAGTATCCGTAAAACCCCAAATCGGTGAGCTATACTGTTCAGCCCAAGCATACCCAGTATACCACATACTCCTATACCCTTGCAAGGCGTACAAGTCTTGCACGAACCCCGCTCGCAGTGTCTCTGCCGATTGCTTCCATAGCGGCCGAGTATGGTCTGCAACAGCCTTGAACTCTGCATCGCACTTGCCCGCGACAGTCCCTGCGTCTTGAAGTTTTCCGATACTCGCCTTTGTCAAGTTCTTGAACCTATCGACCGAGAGTGTATAGTTTGCACCGAAAATTACCCTGAAAAGACCTAGACCAGATGGGCCGGTGGATTCTAAACTCAAGCTGTATGGCCAGTCTTTGATGGAAAGCTGGTTCGACGGTACGACTGATGAAGGCAGGTATGTGAAGGAGTAGTTTTCGGGTAGGCAGGGTGCCTTTACGATGCCGACTAACTCGGCGTCTGTAGTCCAGGTTGAGAAAGGAGCTTTTTCTTTGCTGTCGGGGTGGAAGGGAGCTAGGTTTTTTAGGCTCGGGCCTGCGGTGAATAGTACACGACGCGCTTTGATGATGTATTCGACGTCTCCTTGTTTCACCAATAGTTCGACTCCGTTTGACGTCCTTTTTGTATCTTTGACTGTGCTGGATAATAGCACGTCCGATTTAAGTAGTGCGAGCGCGCGTTCGTACAGGACTCCATTGTTATCGAGTGGTTGGAAGAGTGAACCTTGTAGTAAATCTATAGATCGGTATTAGTGAATTCGATCTGACAAGGTTGAGGAGGTACCGAGATAGATTCACCCGACTCACCTTTTATAAGCGACCACCCAAACCTTTGGAAGATTTCCAACGTCAAAAGATGACGAATACCACCATATCCCACCCCCGATATCGTTATAATACTCGGGATAGCTGCTTCAACCTGGTACTTCTTCGCAAAATCCTCAAACGGCATAAGGAAGTCTTCAGGGATGTCATCCGGCTGCGGAAAGTCCCAATAGCCAGGCTCCAACATGTCTTTGTATTTCGATGTGATGTTGAGCCATCGCTGGAAAGCCGCGCCGGTAGCGTTGCCACTTGGTGGGATGTAACCTTTGAGTTCCTTGCCAGTTTCGACGTCGACATTCAGTGCCGTCAGTCTCGTGGAGGCGTACGTGCGTGTGGGGATGCCAAAGCGCGCGAAGAAATCGAGGGCTGGGCCATATGGTAAATACGCCTCAACACCGTAATTGAGGGTGATGTTGGTATTAGGGACACGATAGGAATCAGCATGGCCGCCAAGTCTTGATTTGGGTTCGATCACCACAATGCTCTTGTTTAGGTCCTCACGGAGCCGGACAGCTGCATACGTGCCAGATGCCCCTCCACCAATGATTGCGACATCTTTGACAAGTTCAATGGGTTTTGAGTTGCGGTAGCCGAAAGTAGGTTCCGCTACAGCGAAGGGTATCAGAAACAGGGATAAAATGCTGAAGAATGGAATCATTGCGAGGCTGAGATACATCAAACTGTGGGTGCTGCCAGCTACTTCTACAGACTGGGAGGCCTTAAGTGATCGGGATGCGCTGGGAGTATGTCGCACAACATAGATGGGCGCAATCTAGATCTGTGCGGTTCAAAGTGATTGATGGACATATCCATGTGGCGAGAGATGGCTTGTTGCACCGCAGCAAACCCCAGATATTGCGGATATTCAGTCCAAGCCATCAGTGAATACGAAGGTCGATTCGTTGTCGTGAAAAGGATCCACTCAGGCTAAGGTTAGAGCAAAGTCGCATCCCCAGCATTTTCCATGTCATCCAATAAAAGAATCTCTCAACTGCATGCAGGGCTGAATACGCCCCGCATCCCCTATGTGCGTAGCGTCGCAACATGTTTCTGTTCTTAGTGTTTTTCTCAACGTCAATATCGGTTGCTCTGACTATGAGCTGAGGCTAATAAAATGGATGTAGCTATAATCTAATATACGGCTGAAGTTGGTGACTGCCTAGGTGTTGAGCGGCAGGTGCCTTCGGCTGGATTGGAAGATGTCAACCTGCTCTACCATCATACAAGACCCACGATATCAACTAGGCATTGAGGGCCCTACAATATGCGCAATCAGAAAGACGACAACCGGGATGAAGTGGCGATAGAAATCGTCGGTAGCGGCGGGGCACGGGAGAATGCAGCCATCTTGGCGCGCTAGGCAGTTAAGGAGGGGCAAAGCGAGCGGCAGAGGTACTCTTCGGCACCCGGGAGTAGCGGCATGTCACTATACGAGCAGTTTGCAGATACGAGACGTTACACGGCGGGATTGTTACAGTATTGCTATTAGGGGGAGTGCAATGCGTTCAGGTGAAACATGTCGTATGCAGTGGCTTTTTCGGACATTCGACATGTGAAGGGGTATATGTTTCTGTTCAACATCATCTTACATATGAGGGGCGTATGCATAGGCACGTCTCCGAGTGTCGCTTTTGTAGTGTTGGTCCGGGTTTCCGGGTTGACGGGCAATGGCTAGTACTGTGGTAGAACTTTATTCTATGAATATACTGCGCACTACTTGTGCCACTGGTAGTCAATCGTGAACACGGTTTCTATTGTCACGAGAATTTCCAAACGAGAGAGCATCGTAGCCATATCTGTGAAATAAAAAAGTCGCAACGGCAAGTACATCCCAAGCAGCCTATAGCCTCGAAAAAACAACAACAAGCCCATCCATGAAATCCAAAGCAATAAACAGAAGTATGCTCCATAAACTCAAGCAAACAACCCCCAGCTTATCATCCACAAGATAACCCCCAATACCTCCCCTGCAAACATGTCCTCCAAAGAAACCACCACCTACACACGCTCACTATTCACACAAGCAATCCACTTACAACGCACCAACCCCTCCAATCTCCGCTCCGTCATCCCCCATCCCACCACACGCCTCACAACAGCCCTCTACCGCACCTTCTCCTCCTCCGAAAAAGTCATCATGGCCACCTGATAAACATCCACGGCTGCACCTCCGTCCTAGTACCATCTTACCTCGGCGCATAGTGGTCGTATTTCTGGCAATACCCCTCGTTCGTGACGCCGAGCCCCGGGCGAAAACACGCAATAAACACCTGGCATTACGGACCCACGCCTAGAGATGAAGACGGCGTACCGAGGCAGTTCCGCAGCGAAGTCCTGGACGTTTTGGAGTGTGGTGTTAGCTATGAGTTAGAGGAGCCAGCGGGGTATAGTTTTTAGGGGTTGGTGAGGGGAAGTTGTTTTCGACTAGTGCTGATACGTGGGTCTTTGTCTTTACACCATATTCATATTCACGGTTGGAAGAAGTACTACCGGGAAATAATCTGGAATATCCGGAGCAGGTCGTGGCTATTGAGTAAGTGCTGATCAAGCGCCCAGAGGATGTTAATACGAGGATTGAGATTGTGCCGTATAAGAGCGAGTGGCCGCTGGATGAACATGCTGAGCCTGCGAGTGATGGAGGCGATCCAGATAGGTATGTTAACATCAGAGGTAAGTATGTGTTAGGGTATAATCCGCAGCTTGGAGATGGTATGGCTTCTGTTGAGGTAAGGGCAGAGGCGAGGACTGTGCCTGTTGTTTGTATGGAATGGGAGATGTGATGATTAGTTAACCAACGCCTGAGCACGTAGATTCTATGATAGCGGAGGATGTGGTGATGCTGTTGCTGAGGGGGGATGGTTCGGGTATCTAAGTTTTAGACAATATTCGTGTTTACATGTGGGAACGATATTTACGATGTAGATAATTTGGGTTTCGTACAATAGAACTCTAATCTACTTCCCTAAATTCAACCCCCCTGGCCGAGTTATATCAGGTGAGAACAGTTAGCTAGACTATACCAACCAAGTCCAAGACAACCGCAAAACTGATAAGATACTCCCAACTCCCAACCTCTTCCGTACTAATCACGGTAATCATACTCACAACATCTCAACCCCCAACCTATCAGCAAAATACAAAATAGAGAGACCGTGATACTACAGAATATCAAAATCCGAGATTCAAACTAAAGCTCCGTTTAATGTCAATAACCCTCGGCAGAGAGATACAACGGAACGTATGCATTGAAAGATACTTTGTTACAGGGGGAGGTGGGAGTGGAAAAGCTCGGTAGACAACGGGCGAGGGCGAGTATCGCATTGCATAAGCGGGTACATCTATGCATCTACGCAAGTTAGGTTATGCAGTTAGATAAATATGGAGCCCGTGGTCCCTCTCTCTAAATGCCTTCAAGCGTGGCCCATATCCCGTGTAGCGGATTGTTCTCGATCGTGGCAAAACCTGCCCCCACCGCCATCAGAAAATTCAACCCTGAACCTGCAAACCTGCCCCCACCGACGATCTGTATTCGACGATCACAATCACCAGCACAAAAAAATTGGTCATTCGATACAAACAATTCAAGGAGATTATTCTCAACTATATACAATGATGAGATATGGCCGGCCACCCTTCTACAAAGCGGTAGGTAGGTATCCAAAAACCCTCATCTATAGTAGTCCATCGTCCGACTAATCTAGGTATTTGCATACAAGATAGTCTTTGTCCCCACACACACACCACACACACACTTAACAGCCGGTCAATGCACACAAACGGTGACCAAAGTATTGACAGCGAAATTAACAATCCAACAACCAAACCTACATCCACTTCGACGGTAAGGAGAAGAAAAAAAGAAGAAAAAAAAATGGTGTGACCTGGCCGTGGTGAAGGGGAGGCAACTAAATGGGTTCATTATGGGGTTTTTTTTTGTGAAATGCCGTGATTACTTCATCGACCGCTGCTCCCTTGGGAGGAGGGGGTATCATGCAAACGCAACGTTCTCTCAGATAGATGGCGACACTCGCTCTAGAAGCGGAGTGTGGTTTCCCGCGAGTGGAAGGTGAAGCGCTTGTCGAGGGTGACCTTGCTGGCCATGACGGCGGCAGCGCGAGCAGCACCGCTACCGCTTAGACCGCTGTTGCTGAGGTCGCTGTTATCGGGGACGACGTAGTTCTTGACCAGACGCTGAGCGACGGCGCCGTTGACACCATTGCTGAGGAGCAAGTTTGCGGAGCCACCCATGTTACCGGAGACGACACCCTGGCGGGCAGTCTCCAGGAGCTTGGCCTTGAGGGCCTTTGGGTTCTGGCCGAGACCGGCGACATCCTGCGTCATAAGGTAGGCCATGACACCGGTGGTGTGAGGGCAGGCCATTGAAGTACCAGAGAGGAAGTTGATGACGGCGTCGCCCGTGTTCCAGGCGCTGAGGATCTGCTCGCCGGGGGCGTAGATGTCAACGCACTTGCCGATATTGGAGAAGCTTGAGACCTTGTTGTCGATGTTGACGGATCCGACAGTGACGACGTTGGAGTTTGCGCCACCGAGGTGAGCAGGAGTGGAGCCACATGCATCAGCGCCGTCGTTGCCGGCTGCGACTGAGATGTGGATACCGGCCTCGCTAGCTCCGGCAATGACTTCGTCGACCGAGGCAGCGGTGCCCTGCAGACCCCAAGACATGCTCATGATGGAACCGACAAAGCCGGGCTGCGTCTTGCGCGTGTTGTGCTGGGTGATGACCCAGTCCATGCCTCTGATAGTATCGGAAGAAGCACCAGATCCATCGTCACCAAGAACCTTGACCTCGATGACGTTGGCACCCTGGGCAACACCGAACTTGGCACCAGCAGCAGTGGATGCAGTGTGAGTACCGTGACCATCGCCGTCGGTGAATGAACCAGTAGCAGTGAAGCCCTGTTTGGCACGGCCAGTGAAGACGGCGTGGGTTGTTCGCACACCAGTGTCGACAACGTAAATGTCAACGCCAGCACCGAGCGATGAGTCATCAAAGGAGTAGGTAAAGTCCTCAGTCTTTGGGGATCCAGTCGCGCCAGTTGCGCTTGAAAGTCGCTGCAGACCCCATGGAGCACCCTGTTGGGTTGCAAATGACTTTACAATAGCCTTCTCCTCGACGATGTTGACTTCGGTCAAGTCCTTGAAGATCTGGGCGTGCTCATCGCACATCCTGACAATGAGAACATGGGGGTCGACGCCGGGCGACGACTCAAAGATCTTGATGTCGTTGGTCTTCTTCAGGTCCAAGGCGTCGAGGTAGTCATCAATCGGCCTAGGGATGGTCTCATTGCGCCAGAAGGTGACAATGTACTCCTTGAGTTCGGAGGAGTGGTTGGCAGGGAGGGCAAACTTGTTAATGAAGCCCTCGTTAGTGGCCGCAAGCACGGACGAGCAAAGGCCCAAGAGGCCGGCGGCGACGGAGAAGGTAGACTTCATGTTGGTTATATAGGGGATCCGGATTGGAAAATGTGGTTGTAGAAGTAGCAAGAGCTAATGTGTCCGGGGGAGCACTGAGAATGAATGTGGGGGCGCTGCGCAGGTCAGTGACAGCTCTGCTGTGAACAAACGGGCGTGAAGCGGCGTAGAGGCAAGAATTAGGCAGCCTTATAGGGCAACAAGGAGGGACACTGTGAGGTCACAATATTGACGCTGAGCCAAGTGAGACATTGACATTGAACAAGCCACACAATGCCACTATGGGGAGGGGATGCCGTGACAGACGGGGGTATAGCAGGCGCGCGCATTGTGCGGCAGCCTTGCTCTCGGTACTTACATCCAGGCGCAAGCAATCAAGAAGCGAGCGGGTCGAGTAAAAGGCGAGACAAGTCTGAGGAGGTATACGTATCGGCCAAGACGTGCACAGCACTGAAAGAAGGTGATTTGGGTTGAAAAGAAGGTGATTTGCGAGAAGGTGTAGGGGTGGAAAGAGAGAGTGTTTAAGAGAGCGACTAAGCACTGTAGAAGAAGCAGAAGTGAGTGTGGAAAGAAAGAAGGACCAAGCCGTTGGATGAAGGGAAAGGATGGTGTGGCGGAGGTCAAGTCCTCATGTACTCGCGGCACAGTGGCCAGGCCATGACGACCAAGCTCAGGGAAGCAGCATGTGCATGTGAAACAGCTTGGCGGTGGGTTACCTCCCGCAAGTCTGCCATACCCAATTCACTCATGAGCGCCGGTAGCCAAGTCGAACTGTCGGCGTCAGGCTACGGAGCGACGGGCCAGGGTCGGTAAGCGAGCGCGGCCCAGGCACATGGACGCACGATTGGGGCGCCTCGGGAGATTGTTGGTGCACAAGCGACGACGGGCCAGTGCTGCGCGACTAGCACTGGCTGTGTTAGGCACACTAAATTCTTTTTCCTAACAACCTGGTGGTTTGTGAAGCCTGAAGCCGCTGTGTTCATTCGCATCCAAACATCCACTAGACCCACGACACGCGTTGTTGTCGCCACTTACAACTAACAGATGGGGCAGGCACGCCGATATGTGAAGAAGGTGCCGTGGGTACAGACAGCAAGAGCGACCTCCTCCTCGGACACAACTCAGGAAGGAACATCCGCCAGCCAGGCAGGAGCACTCGACTCTCGCGCCAGGAAGCAGGAGCAGCCGCGCGCTGATTGGCTGGCTACACATGAAACATCACGAGTCTGCGTCACAGCCTAGAATAGACAAGCCGCAGCCAATCCCACGCCCCACCCGCGGCATAAACCTCGAGCCGGTGCAGAATTTCTACACGACCACCAATCAATCCATCAAGGGGGGCGCCTCTGCCCGTCAAATCATGCACAAACACCAAGCAGTCCAAGCCCCGGCACTTTGTAGCCTCTTCGCCAACGGCCTTACGTGAGGCGTAAGAATTTGCCATGCTGCTGCAGGTAGGACAATACGGATCGCCTCTCTCCACAATGTGTCAAGACACGACATGTGCAAACTAAACAAACCCGCCCCACGCCCCGTTTCAATGTTTATTAAGGGGATGCTCACGAACCGTTATTCTCTGCGTTGCCAGCATGCACTCACTTGAGTCACTTCTGCACACTGCGCTGAATCTGGCTGCGTCAAACCCATGCAACCCTCCTCGAAGCAGTCGTTCACATTTAAATTTGGTAACTTTTTTTCTCCGACAAACAACAATTACCGTACACCGCTGCTGCACATCAGTGTTCGCTCCCCCGGCGTTTCGACTCGTGCCACCCGCAGACCTGTTTTAGTGCATTGACAAACAATCTCACAAGCCATCGTACCACCCAACGAGCTTGAGGACAGGCCCGAGGCATAAAACAACTATTAGGTATGATCCATACAATCCTCGTATAACCAGTAGACAGATGGCCGGCCAGACCCAGACTCGGCACACGGAAAGAAGGACGTGAGCCGGGACGTTTACATACGTACACACGCCATCAACATGGCGGCTAGGGTTGCCCTGAGAAGAGGAACCCCCCAATCTATCCGCGTCCGCATCGTGGCTGGGCGTCAAATGACAACCTCACAAACTGAGCTAGGCGGGCGGTCCATGAAACCAGCCTAGTCACCTTATAATCGTCCACCAAAGTAAGGGCCCAGGGCCCAAAAACTTTGCACCGCCACTAGCTACAGAAGATCTGCGCATTCTTGCAGAAGTCCGGACGGCGTGCAGCCATCCCATCCTGCACGGCGGCAAACAACGACTTGTATGGGCCACCACGTAGTTTTTAGTGCTCAAGTTAGTGCGCATCTTAAAATTGACGTAATCACAAAGTGACCCTGCTACTTAGCAAAGGCGAACACCTAAAGTTACCACTTTCCCTCCAAAATGCGGGTAAGATGGCAAAGCGCATAGCATCGCCACACAACTACTTACATACTTGCCGACCACCGTCATACCAGGATCTACCGACAGCCAACTCAAATTCGATAGATTTTTCAATTCAAATCCCGCAACGATGACCATGTCACCTTGGTCTCTGCGCCCGTTCGTCATGCTGAGCAGGGGTTGGGTGCTGTCAGTTTTTTTGCCATTGCCAGATTAGACTTGTTCTCCCAAAATCATGCGTTAATGTTACAACTACCATCAGGAATTTGAAAAACCGGTGCCTGCTACAGTGACATTTTCGACACTATATATTCCACAGGTATTCGACCAACGGTGAGATTTGTATTTGTTTTCTTTAGTTAGTACTTGTCGACGTTTTGGAAACCTTCTTTTCCCTTCCCCTCTCTGTATCCGTCTTGGGGTCCTGGGTTATGCGGCCACGTTAGTTAATCGTGAACGACATAGATTGTCTAGACGGACACCCCCCTGCACTCATTCCACCCGAAAAGCGGAAGGAAGGCAAAGACAAAAGTAACCATCGGCTTCCCCGCCCGTGTTCTCTCTCACGCTCCACTGGTTTTGCTTGCCGCCATCAATGCGCAGCGCAACGCAACATCAATGTCGAACATGTTCGCCGTCGTCGTCGCGGCACTGTCTACCGTCATCTTCTTCATGCGCGGCAGCCAGCCAGCCACAATACTGTCTGCTGTGGGAATTTGAAAACCGCGGTTTCACCATGATACACAGCATATGACGTGTGGTGTGGTTTTTCTGGATGAGGTAAGCTGGTGGATGTCTTGCAGATTGTCTCGTCGTACCCGGAGTTGCACCGCGAGACGAGCGAGCGGGAGCGTGGGAAGGGGAAATGTTGGTGCTGATCGCGTTATGTAAGTAAGCGGGGTTGTGTTGAGCTTGTCTACACATGTCTAGTAGCTCTGGATGTGGGGGTTTTTTTATGACGGGATTCTTCTCCTTGTTCTTTGTGTAGGTGGGATAGGGTGAGTTGGTGTCTGGCTTAAGGGCGCAGGACTGGCGTTACTAGTTAATGCGAGGATGAGGGTGTGAAGATGTCGGCTCTTTTAGAGTACAGGTTCGCTGGATGATTGTATGCGATAGTTATCACGACGAATTATCTCTCGACTTGTTTATCTCAAAAACCCCCAATTATAACACTCGCCCGCTCTACTAATGTTGACAAAATCGAGAAGCGCTACAACCTCACAACACCATGCTCTTCCAAATACCCCACCCCTCAAGCGAAATATAACATACATAGTCAGTCGCCTCTAAATCTCACAAAATACACAACTGTCGCGACCACCAGCCTAGCGGCTTCCGCTTACAAAACGATGTGGCCTGTGAATAGCAGCTACTTTCTCTCTTTTCTAGACTCTGCTACCATAATACAACAGCAAGGCTTTTAGTTAAAAGAAGGCGGAAATCAATCAGGTATACAAAACAGTAACCAAACCCTAAGATTCCTATAAAATCAGTCGAAAAATTTACTAAATAAACACTACTTTCTTGTTATTCGCACCGTTCCCACCATCAAGCCCATGCCCACCCACCACCCATCACCCCGTTCGCATCGCAACCGTAACGCACCGCACCGCACCGCACAGCCCTAACCTCCAAAAACAAAGACGGAAGCAGGAAGCAAAAGAAAAAAGCAAAGAAAAACGTAGCAGTAACGCCGCAAGAACGCTGAATCTAAGAATAGCACCACCACAGACAATAAAAAGAAAAGGGTGAAGAGAGAAAAAGAAACATGACAACGATTTGTGACGATGATAAAACACATAGACATGGTTGAGTGTCACATCACATGGAAAGATTGCAGACATGTTTGTAGGTGTAGGCGTTCGTCGTATTCATGTACGTACATGGAAAGCAGTGACTATCTATCTACCTAGCCTACCAACCAGCCCATCTATACTAAACCAAACCAAACATACTCAAGACATGCATGAGAAACTTGATACATATACATATAGTTACGTGATTCTTTTCTATTTATACCTACATATATAGACACTACACAAAGTTCATCTCATGAATATTGCCTTTGCCTTGCTCGCCTGCCGTACAAGAAGAGTGTTTCATCCACCCGTCCAAACCGTCCCTCATCATCTCATCTCGTTCCCATAACCATCTCATCTCATATGCCAAAGCAAAAAAAAAGAAAACCCCCACAGAGAGAGAGGAAAAAGGTAGGTACCACAGCAAACTCATCTCACACAAATCTTACAACAACAACAACCCCTCCCCCAGTATACCTCACACGTACTACACACCCAACACACTCACACATCCTCATCACTCTCCTCATCGCCCAACAACTCACCCTCATCAGGATCAACAACACTATACTCGCCCCTCCCCCTCGCAAAGCTACTACGCGAAGTATACGCCCTGCCAAACCCACTCCCACCCAAACCGGAGTACCCACCGCCACCACCACCACGCCCACCCATCCTTCCGACAACCCATCGCCACACACTCCCCACCACCAACGGCAACGCCGCCCCAACAGCAACCAACCCACTAACAGCAGCAATCGGCCACCGAACCCACGGCGCATCCGAATCAAACGCGCTCCCACCCCCCGGTTCCCCGAGTCGAATCCGACCAAACTTGCCATCCCAATTCCTCCACACCCAATACCCGACCCCCGCGGCGGCCGCAAAGGGCAGTACGATAGCGAGGAAGAGGGTAAAACCGCCGACGCCGTGATTTTTCTTAAAGTCCTCTTCGAAGCCAGGGCATGGGTGGACGTCGCCTGTTTTATCGTATTCGGTGCCGCCTTGGCAGGTGGAGAGGGGGATTTTGCGGAAGCGCGTATTGGAGTAGTATTCTTTTACGTTTTTGTTGGAGCAGACTTTTGCAGGGTCGGGGAGGGAGAGGCCTGGTACGAGGACGCAGTCGCCCGAGGAGTCGCGCTCGTAGTTGTAGGCGCTGTTGGGGGTGGTTAGTATGGGGTGATTATGTGTGTGGGAGTTGGAAAGGGGCTTACCATTCAAAGTCCCGACGCGTGCAGGAGCAGTTGCGGGCAATGTCGTGCATTTGGTCGATGCGTTGGCCGTTTCTACACTTGACATCGCGCTTCTTGCGGTGGTACTGCGCGACGTGACCAAAGAGACATTCAGGCTCGTCCTGCTGGAGAGGATGTTGCGGGCTCCAGAGATCATAATCACCCTTTGTGGGATCATTTTCGTCGAGTTTGCATTCCTTTTGAAATTCGGGGAGACCTGAGAAGTCTAGGTTGACGGCAAAGAGTTCCCTGCTGTCTTTGCCCCAAAGCAAAAAGTTGAGCGACGTGTCGCTGGGGACCGTGGTGATTGCGTCGACGCGCATCTTGTGGTCGGCGAATTGGTAGAGGTCCCACTTTGCGCCGCTGTCGACCGAGTAGTAGACGTGATCGGTGTCTTCGCCGCGGCGGACGATGACGATGACGGAGCCTTGGTCACCGAATTCCCACGCGTAGGTTCCCTTCTTGACCTCCTTCCACGTGATACCTGCGTCAGTAGTCATGAAGGTGTTGGCTTCGCCGAAAGTGGTGAGCTCGGGTCCTACGTTACCGACAGCAAGCATCAGGCCGACTGCGGTGGGTGAAGAGTACATTTCGCGAGGATCAGCGCGCTCTGTGTACCCGTGAATATGCAGACCGCACTTTTTTTTGTCTGCTATATCGCAGTCGTATGGCTTGTCGTCAGAGTCCTTCTCGGGTGCTTGAAGAGGCTCCCAATCCGCGCCGTCGTTGTGAGTGATGCGACTCTGCTTCTTCTTCTTTGCACCCTTGTTGACTTCATCGACGTTTACAATAACATTGGCAACCGCAACACCCTCGAGACCCTGCATCTTCTCAAAGTCGACGTAGCCTTCGGTGTTCCTGTTGACAGCAGCAAGACTCATGACATAAGAAGTACCATTGCTGTTACTCTTGATGATAGAGCCATACTCCTGGTCTCGCTGTGGGTTGACCGTGACGTGTAGGAAAACTGCATGTGTCGAGCTGTCCAATACCGTGTAGGCAGTCTGATGGATATCGAAAAACTTGGGAGGGAACTTGGCCTCTGCAAAAGTATGGGCATCAAGACTAGCGTCGAGGTGAAGAGTGTTGTCTTCAGCTTTGGTTGCGACGATGATGAATTCCGACATTGTCGCAAACTCAACCACCGACTTGAACTTGACGTCCTTCTTCTTGAACCAATCGTCACTGGAGATGAGTTCAAGTGGCGCATTCTTTTCCTCGTTGGTGTGTTGCTCGCAAAATACCTGCTCTTCTTTGACACTTCGGCCAGCTTCACGCCAGACAAAAGCGCACTTCTTCACATATGGAACAAGCGACTCCCAGCTAGAGTCTTCACCGTTCTTCTGCGAGACGTAGGCCACGGTGTGACAATCCTTATTGCCGAGTTTCTCACAATTCTTACCACCCAGCCAGATAATCCAATCCTTTTGTTTGGGATGGAACTGCATGATAGGAAGCATCTCCGTGTTTGGCATAACCGGCGCCTCGAACGAGTTGATGCTGTCGTGAAGGCCGCGGTCCTTGGAGTAGTAAACCTTTTTGCTCGCTGTCAAGAAGTAGACGTTGTTGTTCTCGTATTGATGAGGGTAGATTCTGACAATCTCATCATCAACTGCCTTCTTCCACTTCTTTCCGTGATCGTGAGTGATGTAGGCGGTACGCTCGTCGGTGAGCATTACCACCGTTTCGTCCTTGCCCCGGTCGTTATCAGTCCCATCGCTTTGAGTGTTGCGCTCCAAATAGTACTGCTCCATGAAGTTGCTACCCTTGAACTTTGTGATTTCGCTGGTAATCTTGTCGGTCTTGGGCCGCGGTCGCTCCGCGTCTTTGCATTCGCGTTCAACCTGCTTGTCGCGTTCGGTCTCACCCTTGCACTGATTGCCCGGAATCTTTCTCCACCCGGAACTACCCTTGTAAGACTTCGCATCACCCTCGCACGCTCCTTTGGGAAGACTGAACGACTCGCTGGGCTCACACTTCTTGTCCTTGCCTTCTCCGGTAGGGGTAAAGTTGAAATCGCACTCGTAGTCCCTGAACTTGTCGCAATCGCAGGGCTTGAACTTAGGGACCGGGTCTTTGAAAAGCTCTCCAACAGAGCATTCGGCATCCCACTTGCGCCTGCGGAACAGCTGCTTGTGGCCCATGACGCAACTTGGGTCGCCGTCCGCATCCTTGCGCACTGACCATTCATCGTCGAAGTCGCTGTCTCCGCACTTCTTTAGCATGTCAGAGAAATCCAAGTGAACAATGACGTGCTCTCTGCCACCTCCATCCTTCTTTCTTGATCCGTAGATCATGAACTTCAAACTCGTTGAATCGGGTAGAGTTGTAAGCTCGCGCGCGCGAATCTTGTAATCGAGCTTGATCTTTTGCCAGGTATCCTTTCGTCCATGCTTGAACGAGTACCTAATTTCGTCCGTGTCGCCCTCGTCGAAAACGGCTACCAAGACGGAGCCCTGGTCACCAAACTCGTACTTGTGCGCTTCCTCAAGTGCCAGCTCCCATGTAAGACCAGCATCGTCGGAGACGTAGAGGTCACCGTCGGTATATTTGCCCAGGTAATCGCCAGTGTTTCCAACGCCCATGACGATGCCTGGCGCAGGACTCGAGAAGACGCGTCCGCTGTTGTGCAGGTTGGTGACCGAGTGCAGATGCAGCTCTCCATCCTTGCCCTTGACGGTGAGCTTCTCAAAGGACCTTCCGTCATCGAAACTGATGCGCGACTTGAGCTTTTTAGACTGGCCAGACTTCTCAACCTCCTTGTAGTTGTCCACAGTATTCACCAAAACCACGCCTTGGATATTTGCAATCTTCTCAAAGTCTACGTAGCCGGCATCGTTGCGATTGGTGTGTTCGACATTCTTGGTAAAGTAGGTTCCGTTGGAGTTGCTTGTGTAGAGATTGCCCATGGTCACGTACTTGGACGTCATGACGTCGACCTGGATGCTGTAGTTTGTAGATTCGAGGATAGTGTAGGCGTCTTCTTCAATCTTGTGGTCGCCGAAGCGAGCGTGGTGCCACGAGTCGGTATCCTGGGTCACGTAGAGGGCGAGCTCGCTCGAGTGCTCGGCTTTGGCGGCGGCGACGATGTAGCCCTTGACGGCGGCCATGTTGGCCATACCCTGCACGGTACGTCCGGAAGACATGACGGGCTCTTCTGTCTCCTTGAAGAAGCTGCGCCTGTTAGCTGATGCTTAAATCCATTGCCATTGCCACTCACTTGTCAGACATGAGCAGTCTAAAGTCCTTTGACCTATCCGAGTATTTTCCCCTTGTGATGCACAGTATCCGGTCGTCGTGCTTGTCCACGCCTTGTAGGAAGCGCTCGGAAGCCTTTGCCCATTGGCACATGCGGCGGTCGTCGACGAGGGTCTTGGGGTCTGTCTTGAAGCCATCGGTGGTGTAGTATGTCTGTCTTGATCAGCCACTATACATGCAGTCTCCGAGGAAATATAAACCTACCTTTCCGAGACATGGCGCAGTAAAGCAATTCTCAATCTCATTCAGCAAGATCTTCTTGTTATCCTGCGCATGCCAGCCCACAGGACCCTGTGGCGAAGGCGGAAGCTTCGTCTCAAAGCTATCCCAATTCTCGCCCTGATCATACGTGATCCAATGCTTCTTCTCGCCCAAGATCAGCGCGACCTTGTTGTCGTACGGGCTTTTTATTATGCCCAGGCCTTGTACGTCTTTTATTTCTTTCCAGCCCTTGCCAGCATCGTGGGACCGGAATATCTTCCCATTGTCGAGTTCTTGTACCAAGGCGACTCCGGAATCGTCAAAGTACATGAGATTAACCAGCTCATTCTTGAAAGGCGTAGTTTCGACGAGGGGATCTTTCGCGGCGGCCGAGGATGCTAGTGCCAGCAGGGCGGGCAGCAGGAGGCCCTTAAGGTGTTTCATCATGCATAGATGCGAAGAGCAGCGTGTGGTGTAGTAAGGTGCAAAGTAGGCGCGAGATCAAATGAACAGCTGGCTCCCAAAGAGATTCACAGCCTCGAATGTGAGCAGCAGCCGCCCCGATGACGCTTGGCGATCTGAAACACTTGATGCGCCGCAGTGGCGGAGGTTACAACCGCGTCTAAAGTCGCACAGTCGGCACGTGGAGATGGTTAGGGTGTGATGTAGGGACGAAAGAAGCAAGAAAATTCTAGGGTGCGAAGGTGAAGGGTGTGGAATAATACGTTTGCAAACGGGACAGATACAGCTCGCAACAGGTGTCGCGCTCTGTGACGAATAAGCGGACATGCGCGGCTGCTGTCCGCACCCGCCATCCTTGTCGCGGGCGGGCGTGGAGCTGAGAAGACGACGCCTAGTCTCGGATAGACATAGCACCTGCAGTCAGTCTCCGTTACGCTTCACTTGCGCCACGTTAATATTGATGACCATATCCATTCACACATTTGCGATGCGCATGTTGGTAGTTCATCCCGTCTGCCTGTGGACGTATCTTTATCGATAGCGTTTCCTACTTCAGCACCACGCTGGAAGGCCAAAGCGTAATAGTCGCCAAGGCTGCTGCCTGCTACAGCTAGACTACGTACCGACTATCCCAGGATGTTTTCAATCTTGCCGAATACAGGTTGCCTTATAAACCTCGACCGAGAATATCCTACACCTACCGTACCTATGCCAGAAGAATGCACCAACCACCTAAACTTCAAACACTAGTTATGTTGTGAGCAAACCCACCACTACGTAACTCAGCGTGAGTGCCTCATATCTTCACCAACACCCATAATCGCGAGGCTACATTCCCCTTCCACTTCCTGCATCTTGCGCAAGCCCCAGCACAATCCGCCAAAGGAGAGGCGCGTTGAAATAGGTAAACCGAAAGACTATGTACAGTTCAAATATCGCATAGTAACTACTATCCACGGCATCATCAAACTCTTCGTGCCCTCTTCTATGGTTTTCTTTTCAAGTCCTCCCCCCCTCCCCCCCCAAAAAAAACAAACGATTCTTATCCTCTTAATAAGGCTTATAGCATAACTCTACTTCAACTCTCCATACCGTCGCCATGTACATCCACATCAACTTAGATTCATCATGCTCCTGTTTAGACAGAAATTGATCATACTTGGAGGAACGGCGCTTATGGTGCTATTGCGTAGTACAAAGGGTTCAGGTACCAAGAAGCTCTAGCTACCGTAACAGCGAGGCTAGTTAGGTGAAACAGAATCATATTCAACAGCTCACTATCCACCATCTCGATACCCAAAGCATCCTCAACTCCTCTCAAACCCATGCATCCAGCTCCAAGGATGAAATTGCAGAAGCCCGCCATCAAATGCAGAGATTGTTAGGGGCTGAGCCGCAATGACCGTTAAAGGAAACATGTAGCTAGTTACACAGTTAACATATTGTACTGAGCGGAACTTGGAACATGGATAGTCCTACGCCGCCTCCCGTAGGTGTACAAATTTTTTGGCACGGGCTGTTCTGAACAAAGCCAAACGAGCTTATACAGGGATCGAAGCAGCTTTCGTATCCTGCTGGGACATAGGGTGAAAGGGGGGCAGGACTGGTTGCTACGAAGGGGGCGACGAAGAGCAGGATGGTGGCGATTCTGGAGAGGGCGGCCATGGTTGTTGTTGTTGTTTTGGCTGGGGTGGGTTGCGTTTGGAGTAATCCGTCGTACGTCGTTCATATCTCGGACACAACCCATCTTTTTTATACCCCATGGAGGACCGTGCTTCTCAATTGCACCAAAATTCACTCTCACCCAACATCTCGCGATACCTTCCAGCCATGGAGATCCCGCTCGTGTAATGTGGGCCCTCCTACTATTTATTGTGGCACTGCAACGACATTGGCAGCCTGCCTGTCTCTTGGCAGCAGTTTTGATCCCGTGAGAGCCTGTATCTGGTATATCATGGTCGAACCAAAACACTACCACGGAACGCGACATTGTGAGCCAATAGCGTTCTTAGAAAATTTGAAAAAACGATGTAGTTGTAATGAGTACGTTGAGAGTCGGACTCATCGTTATTACGATACGATGATCCGAAACGGTCATGTTGACATTAGCAGTCGTTATCTGTAAGCACTACTGTATATGATACATGGGTGCTGAGCTTACTAACATTTATGGTCATCAACTGTGCTGATCATCGAGATACAAGAGTACCGGTACCTACCGGATGACTTATATCCGGTGTGGCTCTTCATTCCCGCGGTATTCAATTTTCGAGTGTAGGTATCAGTGGTTAGTGGCTTACGAACGCTGTGAAGATCGGGATCGTGGGTGATAGCACGAACGCCCATCGATTCCGAGGTCGGAGGATCTACAGATCCAGCCACCGTTCGATCCCCCCTTTATGATCTTTATGTTTTTGTCTTGGTATTTCAGTCTAGATTGCTAGGCGGCTGCCTTTCGAAATACAGAGTCAACTCTTTGAGCCATAGAAAACCCCCCTTGATAACTTGACAAAAAAACATGAATGAAGGAGAGAGAGGGATCGGACAAACCAGGAACAGACCATGTCAGACTCCGAGACTCGCATACTCAACGTATACGTATGCATCATATTGATGATTAATATACACCACCAACTCTCCACTTCCAAACCCAACAAACACCTATCTATCTTACCCCCAAGTCCACATCGCCCCAGCACTTCCCTCTCACAAACCCTTCTTCCCCTCCACAGCCCCCGCCCTCTTGTTCTGCTGCGGAATCCTATACGACGTCTCCCACCCATATAACGCCCCAGCTCCAAACACCATCGCCGCCCCAACCTTCATCGCACCCGTCATAACATTCCCAAAGATCCAAATACTCAACAGAAAACTCACCAACTTCCTGATATTCAACACTATCGTCACAGTAACCGCCGACGTATTCGCACTAAGCATATTGACACCCGTGATACACAGCAGCTGCGTGAGCGCGTTGGCGGTGAGGAAAATCACGTGCTGCGAGGTTGAAGCGAGGAGGCTGTTGATGATGGGGGGCAGGGCAGCGCCGACTTTGGGCGGGATCTCAAAGGACTGCGAGGCGCGGAGGCGGGCGAATTGCGAGGTCAGGACAGGGGCGAAGGCGGCGAAGAAGGGGATGGAGAGGAGGTGTGAGTAGAAGAGGTTGGCTTGCCAGTCTTTGCCGTGGTCACGGTAGATGTCTTCGACGTAGGCGCCCATCCAGGCTGAGAGTAACTGCGCGACAAGTAGGATTACGAGGCCTGCTTGAAGCGACGAGTTGGACGTGTCGGAGGTCGACGTGTTCATGTTTTTCCCCTGGGCATCATCAGAATTTGTAAAGGCCCGGTTTGGAAAACTTGTCGTACCTTTGATTGAGCATCTGCCCATGCGGAAACCATGACACCGGCAGTTAATATCGCCACCGAGAAGACCTGGAGAGGCGTGTATCGCTTCCCGCGAAGCCATCCAGCCGCCATGGTCGTCACACTACCGAAACTCCTAAGGATAATGTGCACCGGGACGGAGATGTCAAACGCAAAAGCCCAGTTGTTCATCATGTTGACCGTAAAGAACAATGCCGCGCTGACGCACCACTTCCGGAATGGAACTGGCGAACTTCTCATATAGTAACGGCCATTTGGGTCAAACTGGTAGTGCAACGTCGAGAGACATGTAAAGACAAATTGGAAGAGTGTAATGAGTAGACCGCTGTCTGGCTCTTTTCTGACTTGCATTAGTCGATGCATTGACGTAAAAAAAACTTGCTTCTTACTTTACTATTGCTTCCAGACAGTAGACCTTGTGACGTTAGCAGGCTTTGTAGAGACATGATGCAGCATCCTTACATTCGCGCAACACCCTCCAAAAATAAGCGAAAAGCTGCTGATAACAGACGCAATTACAGCCATGGTGGCGAAGCAGTGTTGATAAACGTATTGTATAACAAGATGCCGTTCTTACGTCGAAGCGAATAGGAATGCAGGGCTGATGATTGTTAGATACCCGACGTGGTTAAGGCAGATGACGGAGGTAAGCTGGCAAGTGCGAAGCCAAACTACGTATTGAACCAAAATGCACCCGTCACACAATTGCCACCCAAAGCTGCACTTACACTGAATCAATAGTGTTAAATCTCCCTCTAAAAAATTAGCATTGCTGCTGGATTGCGAAAGTCGATGAAAGCACTCGAGGTAATGCGAGACGCAACGTGGAGGTCTAGGGTGTGATGAGAGCCTCACGGACGCTAACGTCGAATCGTAGTCTTACCCAAAGAAGCATGTTTCCAGAACCCAGGGACCAGACTTCTGCCGATATGTCGTATGCAAGGCCAATTGCCGACCATCACAAGCATCACGCCAACAGTCATTGATTATGATTTCTTTTGTTATTTCTCTGCACCATTCAGAGTCATTATCTTGGTGTTGCAATCTACACTGCTCTGCGGCTATTTGGCGTAACCCGCATTGCGACATCCATCACCGGCATTCTCGCCCCGTTTCGCCATGAATGCTCCTGTTCTATCATCCTAGCGCCACCTGGCAGGCTGCTGCCAACACTGAAATGAACATGGAAGTAAGGATGGCCAAGAACCCAACAAGTGTAGACTACTGTTTGCAAGTGTTCTATGGCGATAATCGTGAATGAAGGCTACACTACAATGCGGAGAAAACAAAAAGCTGCATATTGTTAGCTTGGCTCGTGATTAAGATACAGATGTCACTTACGTTGTTTGTCGCTGCTATAGCAATGCTGTCTTCGAATGGGTGCCAGCTCATATGTAGGATCTTCTTGTTGAAGTCGATCTGATCCGCGTCGGTCTCTTTCCTCATACGTTGCCCTTGCCCAACGGCTCCTGCAGCGGGGCTTCCGGCTCTTGAGCCACCCTTCTTGCTGGTGTTGCTACCTGTCGGGCTTGCGGATGAGTTCATAGGCGTGGGAATTCCGACCTTCTTGGCCTTGAATGCAGACTTATCGGCCTGAAGAACAACCTCGGTATCCTTGTCATTGTCCGATGGATATATCATAAAGTTGTTGTTGTAGCTGCCAGTCATGACGTTCTTGGCATCGCCGGAGAAGACAACCTCGAACTTGTCGAAAATGCTGTCGTTTTCGTACGTGTCACAGAGCCTAGGTCGTAGGTGCTCATGAATAGGAATCGTCTTGACCGGAGTCTTCTCCATGTTTACATCCCAAATCTTGACCGTCAAATAGTCGCGTGACAGGATGTATCGTCCGTCGTGTGAAAATCGTACGTCGGAAATGGATGAAATGATCTCAGAAAAGAACGACCGCGAAGACGGGTCTTCCTCTTGTTCGAATTCTGAAAGGGGCATGTTAGTAGACGACTTCTGGGGGAAACTGAGGTAGCCTACGTTTCGCGTGCTGGTCGCACAGCGCACTCTCTCGCATATCGGCCAGCTTGATAGTGCCCTTGGAGCTTGCGTACATGAACCAATTGCAGCTGATAGGGTGGAACTCGGCAGCTGTAATGACCTCGGTAAGCTCCTCCATGTTGGCGGGCTTGATGTCGACAATGTTGAAGCTCTGGTCCTGGATGTTGAGGTTCCAGAGATTGATGCGCAGATCGTCGCTGCTGATGAATGTCTCCCCATCGCTGTTGACGGATATGCTGTTGATGTGGTAGGCGTGTGCATTTGCATACGTCTTTCGGGGTACTGCGGCGACGACAGTGTCGTGATGTGTGAGGCGCGGAAGCTTCAGGTCGGAGGCGCTGCGGAATTGAGCATTTGGGTTCCTGACAGGACCGCCTCCACCAGCAACCCCACCTCCTGGCGTCAACTCATGTGATAGGTTGTTCTCCGCCACCACCTTGAGCGACTTCTCAAACACCTTCCATAGCTTGATCGTCTTGTCGTTTGTGGAGAGGAGGTAGTGTGAGGCGTTTTGCCGGCGGCACCACTTGATCTTGTTGATCTTCTCTTCGATTTCGAGCGACTTTAGGTAGTCGAACTCTGGCTCGTGCGATTGGAACTCGGTGTGGAACTTGTATTCGCAGGTTTTTTTCTGCGGCTGATCAGCATTGCCGCCAGAAAAGAGGCTTGGTGGGGGAGCGTACCGTTTCGTTCCTCTCGAACAAAACTACACGGCCGCCCTTGTCGCCAGTTGCGAGGTAGTTACCCGTCTGGTCGAACTCGACGGTGGAGATGATATCGGCTGGGCTGGCTGTCAGCAATTGCATGCAGGTATTAATAGACTGTACAAGGGGGGCGTGTGCTAAGAAAAAGATACGTACCTTCGGTTATGTCTTCAACATCGCCCTTGTCGCCGAAGCACCTATCTCAGTCAGTGGCGGTCCCAGAGTGCTTCGACACTCTCGCAAACGTGGCACGATATGTTCCGAGCTTGCAGTAGTGGCCGATATGGCTGGCGGGAGGGATGGTACATACTGGGTAAATTTCCACGTCGTGGGGTTGCCTTCTGCTTCTACCATGATTGTGGACAAGGATTGCGGAACACCAGCGGACAGGTATCAAGTGCAGCTATCGCTTGCTTGTGTATAGCACTGGCGGCGAGTTGAGTCGATATGCGAGCTATCGAAGGCGTAATAAGAATGACCGGGGGCGATAGCGGCGGCGACGTGCACGGCGGCGGACGGTGGGCGGTGGTGATGATGTAGTGGGAGCGGTGACTTGGTAGTTGCGTGGTCGATGGCGGGGGTGATGGGGGGAAAGGGCCTCTGTATGGTTGAGCGCCGGAGGAATCACTCGGCAGCGGAACGACGAGGGCGGGCGTGCGGCGACGCAGGGAGCAGCAGCGCAGGTACAGAGACAAAGCGTGTTTCGTTGATACCTCGATTCACAGCTTAGTGGGGGGAGTCCGACTCCAGTGGCAGGCCTTGGCGCTGCAAACCACGCCTTTCCGTCTGTGGTTAGTGCGGATCGCTCGCGCCGCCCACAACAATATTCATCGGCTTCTCAGCCAGAACTTCTTCGACAACTTCGACACCTACTAACCATAGCACATCGAACTCGCCATGTCCCACAGGAAGTTCGAAGCCCCCCGCCACGGGTCTCTGGCCTTTTTGCCGCGAAAGCGCGCCGCCCGTCACCGGGGTAAGGTGAAGAGGTAATTTCGCTGCCACCACCGTTGTACGTCTGGCAGCACGCTGACTGCCATTGCCAGCTTCCCCAAGGATGACCCCAAGAAGCCCGTCCACCTCACAGCGGCCATGGGCTACAAGGCCGGCATGACCACCATTGTCCGCGACCTCGACCGACCAGGTGCGAAGTTGCACAAGAAGGAGATCGTCGAGGCCTGCACCGTCATCGAGACCCCTCCCGTATGCATACGCCTATCCGCAGCAATTCACCCAGGCACATGACTAACAGCCCCCTAGATGATCGCTGTCGGTCTTGTCGGCTACATCGAGACTCCCCGTGGTCTCCGCTCGCTCACCACCGTCTGGGCTGAGCACTTGAGCGACGAGGTCAAGCGCCGCTTCTACCGCAACTGGTACAAGAGCAAGAAGAAGGCCTTCACCAAGTACGCCAAGAAGCACTCGGAGAGCAACGGTCAGTCAATTACCCGCGAGCTCGAGCGCATGAAGAAGTACTGCACCGTCATCCGCGTCCTCGCCCACACCCAGATCTCAAAGACTCCTCTCAAGCAAAAGAAGGCCCACCTCATGGAGATTCAGATCAACGGTGGCAGCATCGCCGACAAGGTCGAGCACGGCCACGGACTGTTCGAGAAGCCCATTGAGATCAGCTCTATCTTCGAGGCCAACGAGATGATTGACGTTATCGCCGTCACCAAGGGTCACGGATACAACGGTGTCACTTCCCGATGGGGCACCAAGAAGCTTCCCCGTAAGACACACAAGGGTCTCCGCAAGGTCGCCTGTATCGGTGCCTGGCACCCGGCCCACGTACAATGGACTGTTGCCCGTGCTGGTCAGATGGGTTACCACCACCGTACCTCGGTCAACCACAAGATCTACCGTATTGGTAAGGCCGACGACGAGGGTAACGCCTCAACCGAGTTCGACGTTTCCAAGAAGCGCATCACACCGTAAGTCAGACGTTATCCTACAAACGAATCAAGACTAACAAAACATAGCATGGGTGGCTTCGTCCGCTACGGTGAGGTCAAGAATGACTTTGTTCTCCTCAAGGGTAACTGCCCTGGTGTCAAGAAGCGCGTCATGACCCTGCGCAAGTCCATGTTCACCCACACCAGCAGGAGGGCACTGGAGAAGGTCGAGCTCAAGTGGATCGACACCTCTTCCAAGTTCGGTCACGGTGCATACCAGACACCGGCGGAGAAGAGGCAGTACGAGGGTGTCCTCAAGAAGGACCTCCAGTCCTCGTCTTAGAGGGCTTGAGGTGGTGGTACGGAGTGCATGCTTTCTTCACATGGGCTTTGGCGCTCGGGATAGGTCTATAACATGGATGCCAGTCATGAGCGATTGAACAAAAATTCAACGATTCCCCAATTCAATACATATCCAAATGCGATGAATGCGTGATGTGTATGTTGTTAGCGTGGCTGGAGCTAGTGGGATCTGGCCGGTGGAATTACGGCCGGAGGTCTGCTGTGCGCAGCGAGTCATGTTACGACAGGCGAGAAGGCAGGGCGTGTCAGAGTGTTCAGACGGAACCAAGTTAGTTCATATGACAAGGTGGTGTCGGAAGAGAAGATTGAATTCAAGCTTTGATATGTCTCATGAAAATGATAAAACATAGCTTGGGCTCTTGTGACCAAGGTCGGTGTTCAGGACGGCTATATGTTCAGCAGAAAGGCTATCACGGGCCGAAAGTGTGACCGGGGGTAATGATGGACGAGCCATATGATCGTATGGGAACGTCTATGACGACGACGAATGAGGCTCTAGATCTAGCGCCAGCGGCGACACTTGTGGGATGACACTCCAGGGACCAGACCAGACGATATACGTGGAGGAAGGCAGAAGGCCGGACCGGTCATGTGCTTCGGCAGATGTAACACTGGAACGACTCGCACTCACTCGCGTCTCAGGTCTGAATATCGAGCAAAGGTTGTCCGGTGTGGGAAGCCCGTATCCCGATGGTACTCATCATCAACCTTGCAGCTTGAGCTTAGGTAGACTATGAAGAGGCAATGTATAAAATAGCGTACTAGTGCAATGCATTTGATCACGACTCAGATGTAGAGGCAAAGAGGCGTCCACATGTCGCGCTCAAGAAGAAAAGCCGGGATGAAGGGCAGGCGATGAAGCCGAGGCCTACCGATCCAATCAACGGCAGTGAGATTTAGTTTGTAACATTGAAGTAGGGCGCAACGCCATCATCGACCTACAACATCGAACCCACCAGACCTCTTGCATTCCCGTCTACTCTCCACTCTTCGGCCACCGCCAAAATGAGTTGCCTTAGGATGCGTCGTACGCAGCTTGCAAGCCAGGTGAGTTTGTCTCTGACCATGCGCAATCGACTACGGCCATGTATACACTATATGCCGCATCGAGGCGTGTGCCACATCCCACATGGACATGGCGTTGGCAGAGTGTCGCATGCGCATGTTGAACGTCGACGTTTTTCACCTGTTCAATGGCTAACATGTACCGCAACAGCTCGCGAAGAGTTTCCGCCCAACTGCCCGAGCTTTCTCTTCAACCCGTCCTGCGCGACGCATATTCGCTACCGAAAACCTGCGGGCAAAGGAAGTGTCGGGCTTCATTTCGAGTAAATACCCCGTCATTGACCACGAATACGATGCCATTGTCGTTGGCGCTGGAGGCGCTGGTCTGCGAGCGGCCTTTGGTCTTGCTGAAGCTGGTTTCAACACGGCCTGTATATCGAAGCTCTTCCCCACTCGGTCACACACTGTAGCCGCACAGGGTGGTATTAATGCTGCGCTCGGAAAGTAGGTTTCATCGTTAGAGGAATTCGAGGACAAGGCTGACAGCTATCTTAGCATGCACGAGGACGACTGGAGATGGCACATGTATGATACCGTCAAGGGCTCAGATTGGCTTGGTGACCAGGACGCTATCCACTACATGACAAGAGAGGCGCCCCAGTCCGTCATTGAGCTCGAGAACTACGGCTGCCCATTCTCAAGAACTGATGATGGTAAAATGTGTGTCTCCCGCATGTACCCCGCGTCACACCATATTGACAATGTCGCAGTTACCAACGTGCTTTCGGTGGACAATCGCAAAAGTATGGAAAGGGTGGACAGGCATACCGATGCTGTGCTGCCGCTGACAGAACTGGCCACGCTCTCCTCCACACTCTCTACGGACAATCTCTACGACACAACACCAAGTACTTCATCGAGTTCTTCGCTACCGATTTGATCATGGAAGACGGTGTCTGCAAGGGTGTCGTTGCCTACAACCAGGAGGATGGAACCATTCACCGATTCATTGCAAAGAACACCGTTCTGGCCACTGGAGGTTACGGACGTGCCTACTTCAGCTGCACATCCGCCCACACCTGCACTGGTGACGGTATGGCCATGGTAGCACGTGCTGGACTCCCCAACCAAGATTTGGAGTTTGTCCAGTTCCACCCCACGGGTATCTATGGTGCTGGCTGCTTGATCACTGAGGGATCCCGTGGAGAGGGAGGTTATCTGCTCAACTCCGAGGGTGAGCGATTCATGGAGCGTTATGCGCCAACCGCCAAGGATCTTGCTTCCCGCGATGTCGTCTCCCGATCAATGACTCTGGAAATCCGTGAAGGCCGCGGTGTCGGTCCTGAGAAGGACCACATCTACCTGCAGCTAAGCCATCTGCCCGCTGAGGTCCTCCACGAGCGTCTGCCTGGTATCTCCGAGACTGCTGCCATTTTCGCTGGTGTCGATGTCACAAAGCAGCCCATCCCCGTCCTGCCCACTGTCCACTACAACATGGGTGGTATCCCCACCAAGTACACTGGTGAGGTCATAACACAGGACGCACAGGGTAACGACCAGGTCGTTCCAGGTCTGTTCGCTTGCGGTGAAGCTGCTTCCGTCTCCGTCCACGGTGCCAACCGTCTTGGTGCCAACTCTCTCCTGGATCTCGTCGTCTTTGGCCGTGCTGTCTCCCACACTATCCGCGACAACTTCAGCCCCGGTCAGACCGCCGACCCCGTCCAAGCCGATGCCGGTGCCGACTCAATCGCCGTCCTCGACAAGATCCGCAACTCGGACGGTGCCAAGTCGACCGCCGAGATCCGTCTCCAGATGCAAAAGGTCATGCAGACAGATGTCGCCGTCTTCCGCACACAACAATCGCTCGACGAGGGTGTCAAGAAGATCCACGATGTCGACGCCGATTTTGCCAATGTCGGCATCAAGGACCGCAGCATGATCTGGAATTCCGACCTCGTCGAGACGCTTGAGCTAAGGAACCTGCTCACCTGCGCTGTTCAAACCGCCGAATCTGCCGCCAACCGCAAGGAGTCGAGAGGCGCTCACGCCCGTGAGGACTTCCCCGACCGTGACGACGAAAAGTGGATGAAGCACACGCTGTCGTGGCAGAAGCAGCCACACGGCAAGACTGAGTTGGGTTACAGGAGCGTTGTTGGCCACACTTTGGACGAGGCTGAGTGCAAGGCTGTGCCACCGTTCAAGCGTACCTACTAGAGAGAAGTTGTTTGGGGAGGGGGCAAGACAAAAGGGAAATTTTGCACAGATGACGGGTTGGTTTGGGTTTTTTGTATTTTATGTACATGAGCTGAATGAATGGGTTGGGAGGAAGGAAGAAATTCAGCAAAACTGTTGAGAATATCTGAGTTCAGTCCAGGGTAGAAGGTGCTTGGGAGTCACATGATATGCTGGTATGGCAGGCACTGCCCGGTGGGCAATAGCACCCACCACAACAGCCTGTGTTGGTGACACTCAACACGATAGTCAATACAATACGTTGCAGCCACCCCGCCTTGTCCCTCCTCCCACTCGGTTATTCATGGTAGTCATACTACTAGTGGGACCTTGTTCCAATAGTTTTTCAGTATATTATCTGTTAAGAATTGACGAGGATAATGTTTCTATACTAATATTATCGCTAGAAGAAGAAGAAGCGAAGATTATTAAGCGGGATTTCTATCAGCAGCCGACGAGTGTTTGGTCGATGACTGAGAGGGCGCCTCTGCGGTTGGGGAGATATGCTAACGTGCGTGGGTAACTGGGATGGGATTGTTTTTTGGATTTGATGTGTTGTGTATGAGAGCTGATAGGGGAACATGTTTGATGGAAAGAAGCACTTGACTCTGTCGTCGCAACATGTGACGAAACCCAAGGTTGGAGAGAGGTATCTATGAGGGGTGAATATTCATGGATACGGAGTCTTCCATTTCCTACGGATTTCTAGGCTAAGACGTGGAAAGAAAGATGTAGGAAGACTACTCTACACTCTACCGGTACTGTTATTAATAGGACAGCTTTCACTCTCGGACCCCCTGTTGCCGACAACGACCAATGACGTCCGGTTGCAGGGATCATGTCCGGCAAGCGAAAATCCCATTACGGCCTGGTCGAGGCGGACCCTGAACTCGCGATTAGGTGTGTCGTGTCTCTAAGAGCCGGGTCAATCCTCCAACTCTCTTTTTCGCTTTTTCTTCCTTCATCTTTGATTCCTTTTGTCGCTCTCATCGACTTTTTTTTAGCCCATCATGTCCTCCCCTCCTGGCACCCTGCGCCAGCGAACAGGCAAGGACAAGAAGCGCCCCGTCTCACCCAACCCAGACGCCTTGTCGGAGAAGGTCGCCAATGTGGTTGAAAAGGTGAAGCCGGCCATGGACAAGGTTAAGCCGTACAAGGCGGCCCAGCAGAGTGGTGAATGGGATTACAAGCTTGCCATTGCTGTCATGACGGTTCTGGCTTTCATTACGCGCTTCTGGGGCATCAGACACCCTGACCAGGTTGTCTTCGACGAGGTGCACTTTGGAAAGGTGGGCATATGCGCTATATGGAATTGTGTTGCGTTTGACCAGGTGGCTAATTGAGTGTTCAGTTTGCTTCGTACTACCTCCAACGAACGTACTTTTTCGATGTCCATCCTCCCTTTGGAAAGCTCCTCTTCGCCTTCGCGGGCTGGCTCGTCGGATACAAGGGCGATTTCTTGTTTGAGAGCATTGGCGATTCCTACATCACCAACAAGGTCCCATATGTCGCCTACCGCGCCATGCCCGCCTCGCTCGGCGCTCTCACGGTTCCGATCGTCTTCATGATCATGTGGGAGTCTGGATACTCGCTACCTGCCTGCATCACCGCCGCTGGTCTGATGCTGTTCGACAACGCCCACATTGGCCAGACGCGCCTTATACTGCTCGACGCTTCGCTCATCTTCTTCATGGCTCTCTCCGTCTTGTCATACATTCGCTTTTACAAAGAGCGACACGCTTCTTTTGGTGCGAAATGGTGGAAGTGGCTGCTTCTCACGGGCATCAGCCTGAGCTGCGTCATCTCCATCAAATACGTCGGTGTCTTCACTTTCTTCTCCATTGGTGTTCCGGTCATGATTGACTTGTGGGACTTGATGGACGTCAACCGTCGCCAGGGCGCCTTGACTCTTGCTGAATTCGGCAAGCACTTTGCTGCCCGCGCTGTCGGTCTGGTCATTGTTCCCTTTTTCCTGTACCTTTTCTGGTTCCAGGTTCACTTTACCATTCTCACCCGCTCTGGACCAGGCGACGACTTCATGACCCCGGAGTTCCAGGAGACTCTGAGCGACAACGTCATGAGTCTACAGTCTGTTGGTATCAACTACTACGATTCCATTACCATTCGCCACAAGGAGACCAAGGTCTACCTTCACAGCCACCCTGACCGCTACCCGCTCCGATACGACGATGGACGTGTTTCTTCGCAGGGACAGCAGGTTACTGGATACCCCCACAACGATACCAACAACCACTGGCAGGTCCTCCCGCACAAGGCTTTGCCGAGTGAAGAGGGCCAGCGCGTCAAGGTCGGCGATGTAATCCGTCTCCGCCATTTGATCACCGACACCATTCTCTTGACACACGACGTTGCATCTCCTCACTACCCCACCAACCAAGAGTTCACTACAGTAACCAAGGATGAAGCTTCTGGTGCACGTTACAATGATACTCTGTTTGAAATCAAAGTAGACAAGGGCAAGGGCGATTTCACTACCATGTCAACTCACTTCAAGCTTGTTCACGTGGCCACAAAGGTTGCCATGTGGACTCATACCAAGCCTCTCCCAGATTGGGCCTACAAGCAGGCTGAGATCAACGGCAACAAGGCTGTCCAAGCATCCAGCAACATCTGGTATGTTGACGACATCCCGTCTCTGCCTGTGGAGGACGTACGCAACAAGAAGGAGCCCAAGAAAGTCAAGCATCTCGGCTTCCTGAGGAAGTGGGTCGAACTCCAACGCGCCATGTTCTACCACAACAACGCCTTGACCAGCTCGCATCCCTATGCTTCCCAGCCCATATCCTGGCCCTTCCTCCTCCGCGGTGTCTCCTTCTGGACGCACAACGACACGCGCGAACAAATCTATTTCCTCGGTAACCCACTAGGATGGTGGCTCGCATCCTCGCTCCTCGCCGTCTTCGCCGGCATCATCGGCGCCGACCAACTCGCGCTCCGCCGCGGCATGGACGCCCTCGACGACCGTAAGTCCCAATTTTCCTACCAAACCAAACCCGGCTTCTTCAACCTCTTCATGGCCCTCGCATTCGAAAACAAAGTTCTAACCTTTTTCAAAACAGGCACCCGCTCCCGCTTATACAACTCCACCGGCTTCTTCTTCCTCACCTGGGCAGCCCACTACATTCCCTTTTACATCATGGGCCGCCAACTCTTCCTCCACCACTACCTCCCCGCCCACCTCGCCTCCTGCCTCGTCACGGGCGCCCTCGTCGAATTCGTCTTTTGCATCGAGCCCCAGGACCCGGAAACCCCCGGCGCTGTTAAAGGTCACCGCCGCACTCGCTCCCGCCCTGTTCGTGAACGCGTCGCTTCGTCTAGTCTGATGGGCAGTTGGATTGCGTGCGGTGTTATTCTTGCAGCCGTGCTTTGGTGCTTTTTGTTCTTTGCCCCGCTTACGTATGGTAGTCCGGGCTTGAGTATTAGTCAGGTTCAGATGAGGAAGTGGTTGGGGTATGATTTGCACTTTGCCAAATAGATATGCATTGTTGGGGGGATGGTTTGGGATGAGGGGTGGAGTTGTGGGTTGTGGTGGGATTTTCGTTTTTTTCTTCTTTCTTTTCGTTTTCCTGTCTCTTTGGGTTGGAGAGAAATCATTGGGGGATAACTAAACTAAAATAGTTGACATTTATTGTATTGTAGTACAAGGCATGGAATGGAAGTATGCATAGAGATGATGGTGCTGGAAGAAAGCGTTTGGTTTTTCTTATTTACTGTGCCTCTCTCGTATGTGGTAGAATATACAATCAATATGTGAGTTGATGAGCCAAGTCTGAAAATGCAGATTGAAATATCAGCCTAAGCCATCTTCACTTGCCTCATCATGCTCGGAATTTAGAAGTTAAAGTCGCGTGCTTCAGTAACATATCCATGTTTTAATCATTACCTTCATTTCATTCTATTGTTTCATAAAGTTTACCTAAGAACTTGGCTTATTCTCCCATTCGTTTTGCTCACAAGTGTGTCTTGTTTCTTTCCTCAGAGCGATATCATGGCATACCTATACAATGCGATATCACATCACACCCAATCCCTCCCCCCATGCATCTTCCAAACACAATCAGCAGCAACATCGTCGTCGTGGGTGCTACGCTGCTGAATACTAGTCCTGGTACCAAAACAACAGCTATCGCCCACATCCTGTTCGTAATTCATCCAATCGACATCGACATCCTCGTGATGATGGAGGAGGAGGGGGGGTTTACGCCGGACCCTTCTTTCTAAGAGCCAGGAGTCATAGTTTATGGTATGTTGCATCTGCATCTCCTCCCCATCCTTCTCTTCCACATCCACCTCCACCACCACCTCCTCAGTACCACGCTCAACACGCTCAAAACTCAAACTCCCCCCGAAACCTCTCAACATCCATACCGGGACCCACCAAATCACTCAAATCGCGGCGTCCCATCTGGCCAAACACCCGCCTAAGCGTATCATAAAGATTGGTGCTCTGATTCTGATGAATCATGTTATCAAGCTGCGACTCCGACACGCCGTCGCCGACAACCTCTCTCGCGCGCTCTTTCCCCTCCTGCTCCACAACCTTGTGCATAGCTAGCGCGCCGAGCAAATGCTGCGCGGCTTCCGTGTAACAGCCGATATTAATACACGAGACACCGAGGTTATACCTTGCTCGTACGAAATTAGGGCGTAGGGCGAGGGCGCGCGAGTAAGCGTCTATAGCTTCCTCGCTGCGACCGGAGTTTGCGAGGGTAGCGCCGAGCCGGTTCCAGAGGAGGTGGACCTGAGAGGAAGAGTTTGAGACGCCAGATTCGGTCGAGGCGAGGGCGGCGCCGAAGCAGTCGACGGCTTTGTCGTATTCCTCCACGCCGTAGAAGAGGACGCCGAGGCCGACTTGGACGTCTGGGTCCATTTGCTCGCCCGAGGGGGAGAGTTGTGCGGCTTGGATGAAGAGGTTTGTTACTTTTTCGTGGAGGAGGTGGCGGTCTGTGAAGCCCATTTCGGCGTCGGAAGAGAGGGCTTCTTTGATTAAAGAGGGGTATTTTGTGGCGAGCCAGCGCTCGAGCGTGCGGTACGCGGTGCTTTCGTAGCCTTCGTTTGTGTAGGATACGGCGAGGCCCATGAGGGCTTCTAGGTTGGAGGGGTCTTGCTTGAGGGCGTGTTCTAGCGCGCGGATGGCGGGTGTTTCTTTTTCGTTTTGGGCTTGGGACTCGCCCAGTCGGACCCAGGCTGCGATATGGTTTGGATCTTTCTGGACTGCAGCTTCAAAGGCTAACGCGGCCAAAGAGAGGTTTCCGCCGTTTTCCATAATCTTGACGCCCTCTTCAAACGGGTTCGTGACGGCCTTGAAGAGGTTTTCGTCTTCGAATAGGTAGTCGCCCATGGCGGGATCGCGGACAGACTGCGTGTTGAGCCCATCGAAGTTCTCCCACTGGTCGAGGTCGCCCATGTGTCCTTCAACATAATTCTCCTCGTTTACCAGTTGCCTAGCGTGTTCAGTCTCAGCTTGGATTCCCTTCCAAATGGACTCGAAATCGTCAAAGTCGACGGCATCTTTCTCTACTGACCTGTCCATTTCGTTCAGCTCAGCCTCCATGGCCTTGTTCGCCTCGGCGTCTAGAGCACTCAGGTCGTCCGTCTTCTCCAGCTCGGCGAACTGGGCCTCCCAGTCTTGGTCGTCGAGCTCCACCATGCGCCCTTTGCCCTTGCCCTCTTGCATGGGTTGTTGGAAGTTTTGCGGCGCATATGGCTGTTGCATCATGCCCATTCCGCCCATTCCCATGCCCATTCCCATGCCGTTCATGCCCATGCCGTACATGGGACGCTGGTATCCCGACATGGAGGGCTGTGAGGCTGTGGTTGGGCTTGCTGTCCGAGCCGTCGAGTTCATTTGCTGGAACTGCGCGAACTCTGCGGGGTTGAAGCCAGCCGGCCTTTCCTGCATGGCTGGTCCCATCTGCGGTGCTTGCATGCCTGGATCGAACTCGGCGGCCCATGCTGGCGAAGGGCTGTGCTGCTGTACGCGTTCCAACTCTCTGCGCATCTGCTCCATGGCGAACGGGGAGGCCGGCCCGGGTCCTTGTGGAAGTTGAGCATTCTGGTTCATGAATTCGTTCATCATCTACCGCCTCATGTTAGCGGAACTTGCATGTGCTGCTGTGACCGCCACCTACAGCATCTGACGGGCCGCCCATTTGCTGGCTTCGCATGCCCTCTTGCATTCCGCCCGGCCCCCGCCCGACCAGGCGGTCTCTCTGCAACGACTTGTCATCTTGTACATGTTTGGTGAATTGACTGAGCGGGTTGGCGCCCGTGGAGCATTCTGCGCCGCCGAGAAAAGACATTGCGAGAAAGGTAAGAAATTTGGGTATGAAACAGTTGAGGCGAATCTAAGGGAAGAGAAAGGGACCAAGTGTACAAGTTGGGGTTGGGTTGGGCGGAAGACGCGTCGACCGACTTAATTGATCAGCAACAGATGCCGAGTGATGGATGGTACGCGGGGCAGAGCCGAGGTCGCCGTTCCGCTGTTCCTGGCCGCCACACCCGTTGTCGGCCAACATTAACCTTTGAAGTTTGGTCATGTAGCGGCACATGTCAAGCACGGTATTTGTATGGTTTGTAGTTGTAGTGCAATGTGGATTTCCTTTTATACGGCAATTATCCACCCGAGCTGCATGCCAAAGAAGAGGAGAGTAACAACGCCGGACGCTGCCCTTATGATACATGAGACCTATTTACCCTCACATTACGCAACAAATGAGGCAAACATGCCAGTCGTGAAAATCGTACAGATATATCGACCATCTCCGAACCCATCATCCGTCATAGGAGCACGAAGCGGTCCTGGTATCTCCACTCTCCACGCTGTTCACGCCTCCTTTTTACTACGCCGGCTTTAATCCTGGGTAGAATCGGCGCGCTTTCCCCGCTGCTCGCTCGTACCCGGCTTGCTGTAGTCGATGCGAAGCTGTCGTCCGTAAATGACCTTCTCACTGAGCACTTCCTTGGCCTTGGTGGCGCTGGCTACGTCGATGAAGTCGGCATGGGCAAAACCTCTGGGCTGACCCGTTCTCCTGTCAATGGCAACGCGCACATCCATGACGTTTCGAATGTCACGGAAGAGATCGTTAAGGTCCTTGTCTGACATCTCAAACGACATGTTACCGATGAAGAGAGTCTTGGAGGGAGCGTTGGCATCGAAGCTGCCAGAAGCGTTGCGCGACATGGAGTTGGGCTTGGGCTGGTGGTACTGGACGACCATGTTGCGACCCTCAAAGACCTGCATGTCGAGGTTGTCAATGGCCGCCTGCGCATCAGCCATGTTTGCAAACTCGACGTATCCGAAACTAACACCTGAGTCAGTAAAGAGAGTGTCAAGTGGGGTCAAGTAATTTACCCTCTGCTGAGGCCTCTGTTGTCGTAAACGATCTTGACCGACTCAACCTCACCGAAGCGTGAGAAGACACGCTTCAGCTGGTCAGCCGTGACCTCGTAGTACAAGTTGCCAATATATAACATCTTGTTTGGTTCCGTGTTCCTGGATTGCCTCGACTGCCTGCCCATGGTCGTGGGTCTGTTGGTAGCTGCTTCCAGTGCATCTACGCCGATAGTAGCAGACTCATCCTTGGGGTCGGCCTGAGCCTCTTCTTGTGCAGGCGTCAGGTTCTCCTCAACTGGTGCCTCTGCTGCTGTTTGCGCAAAGTTCTCATCGCTGGTCTGCGCCTCTTCTGTCTTGGTCACGTCATCGCTGGCGAATCTCCTCTGGAAGGAAGCAATTGACCAGGTGGGTTGTCGAAGGCGAAAGGCGGATGGGGTAATGGTGTTGATGCTTCGCGGCTTCGCAAGAAATGTCTTGGAAGGCGATGCGCTGATGGCGCGGACGGCAGTGCGGCGAAGAAGAAACCTGAATTGTAACATGAGTACATGGACATTAGTCAATCGACGCGGGACTTACATGGTGGGCGATTTGGCAAAAGTTGCGATAGTCGTCCTGTATCTGTCTCGTTTTGCTGGAAATTTTTGGTAGGGATAATTGAAGCACGCTAGAAGAAAGTCCGGCACGTGACCAATGATGCCTTTTCAATTTCGGATAATTTCACGTGTCGTCGACGTCACCTTCCCCCTTCCCCGTGCTCTAAGCGAGATGGGTACCCCGCGTGCTTTACTTCAAGTGTTATTTCTAGTGCTAGTGTGTGAAGGGATAGTGAAGTCGATGCAAGTACTTGTAATGGATCGGTTGACTTAACTCCGGATTGGTACCATCACCAGTCGTGCTAGCAACTTGCCCGAATGCATCGTTCCTAGCCATGGCCTCAATAAGCTTGCTCGCTGCTGTTACGTATTCCTGCCAGGGCACTTAGAAACATGTACCATGTAGTCATTGAACCCATAATTTCCAAAATGCTACCGAGTCAGGCGACAGAGCGGCCGACTCCGAGGCGCGTTCTCGTGTGTCTTGTTCTAAAGTTTGTGTTCGCTCTAGCCACAACTACCACCCCCCTAAGAGCACCATGCTGAAAGGTAGTACATGTCAATCTGGTCATACAGAAGACGAGGATACTGATGTTGCCGCCAGGAGCCTTTTCTGCCGACGGAGATGGGTCGCCCGACTTTGGTCCCGCCCACGATGACCAGATGCTTTCCTCAGAGGAAGAGGAGCTGGGCCTTGACTACTCAGACCCCGAAGCTGGAGACGGCACCGAACTGAAGCACGGTGCGACTGCAGCGGCGGATGCGAGCGCCGACGAGGATGGCAATGGCATGCTTCCCCGCGACAAGCAGCGCCGAACCGCCTTTTATGACTATACGGCTGACAAGCAAATGAGCCACACCGAGGCCAAGCAGTTCTACCAGCGTCATCAGCTCGAGACTCAGTATGGGGGTTCACAGGCGGGAGACGTGTATAGCCCTGCCATGCGGGCAAAGACGTTTCCCGTCACCATGGGCGCCACAGATGGCGTTGACTTTCTCAGCACAGCTGAGAGCGTGCGGTCGCGGAAGAGCAACGTGAGCCATGCCCACCAAGGGCACCGGTCCAACCTACCCATCGGCTTGTCACACACAGAACAGTCACAGGAGCCACGCCGGCACATGACTCAACATGGCGCCAATGCTGCAGGTACCTACGACGACGGTGACACCTTTCTGCATGCCGATCAAAAGGCTCGTTCGCATGCCCAGCACCCCGCCCTCCCGCACGAGGAAAAGCCTCTTCTGGCTGAAGAAGGTATACACGGCGCAGGCGCAGGTATTGGTGTTGGAACAGGAGCCGGAGGCTTTGCCATGTCGGATTCCAGCATCACAGCGGAGCTTAGCTCAATCTACACAAACATCCAAAAGGTGCTGGACCTACGTCACAAGTATATTCGCTTGTCTTTGCAACGCAGCTTCGACAACCCCAAAGATGACCCCGCTTGGCGCATCTACCCATCTCCCCCTGAACCCGTATGGAACGACCTTTCCAAGGAGCGCCGCAACGCAGGCACTAGCAGCATGCAGAATAGTGGCGTTTTGGAGCCATCTGAGCCACCTAAACCACCTCGCAAAATGGGTACCAACATTGGCGAGGACTTTCACTTGGAAGAATGTTTGCCAGTACCGGGTCCTGGAGAGATGTCGTTTCGTCTGGACGATAGCGGTGTATATCAAGTGTATGAGACGGCCAAATCCGCTGAGCTCGACACGCCTATTGTGTCTATTCCCACATTGCGTGAATTTTACATCGATCTCGACTCAATCCTTGACATTTCCTCGGATGGTCCTAGCAAAAGCTTTGCTTTCCGTCGGCTGCAGTATCTGGAGGGAAAGTTTAACCTTTACTACTTGCTGAATGAGTACCAAGAGACGGCCGACACGAAAAAGGTCCCCCATAGAGATTTCTACAACGTGCGAAAAGTCGACACTCACGTTCACCATTCGGCGTGCATGAACCAAAAGCATTTATTGCGCTTTATCAAGTCCAAGATGAAGAAGTCGCCAGATGAAGTAGTCTTGTTCCGTGACGGCAAGCATCTCACACTGAGAGAAGTGTTTGAATCGATTAATCTGACAGCCTACGATTTGAGTATCGACACATTGGACATGCACGTAAGTATGATTTCCGACGTATGAGAACATTCTGACCATATAGGCGCACACGGATTCGTTCCATCGTTTCGACAAGTTCAATCTAAAGTACAACCCCATTGGCGAGTCACGTTTACGAACCATCTTTCTCAAGACAGACAACTTTGTCAAGGGCCGATATCTAGCTGAGATTACTAAGGAAGTCATTTCGGATCTGGAGGCGAGCAAGTACCAATTCGTCGAGTGGCGCATCTCAATCTATGGCCGCGACATTGACGAGTGGGATAAACTTGCAGCCTGGGTGGTTGATAACAAGCTCTTTTCGCCCAACGTACGCTGGCTCATCCAGGTCCCTCGTCTGTTTGACGTGTACAAAGCCACTGGTCTCATGGACAACTTCCAACAAGTCATTGTCAATGTCTTCCAGCCTCTGTTCGAAGTCACCAAAGATCCCTCAAGTCACCCCAAGCTACACATCTTCCTGCAAAGGGTCATTGGTTTCGATAGTGTCGATGATGAGAGCAAAGTCGAGCGGCGTGTGTACCGAAAGTTCCCATTTCCAAACGAGTGGTCCACAAAGCAGAATCCTCCGTACAGCTACTGGATGTATTACTTGTTCGCCAACATGTCATCGCTCAACGTTTGGAGGAAACAACGAGGCTTCAACACGTTCCTTCTCCGCCCACATTGCGGAGAGGCTGGTGACACTGACCATTTAGCAGCAGCAGTTCTTTGCTGCCACAGTATCAGTCACGGTCTCTTACTTCGAAAGGTGCCTCTTCTCCAATACATTTTCTATCTCGAGCAGATTGGTGTTGCCATGTCTCCATTAAGCAACAACGCGCTCTTTCTTGCATACGAGCGAAACCCTTTCTTGAGCTACTTTAGACGCGGCCTCAACGTCTCGCTCTCAACAGACGACCCCCTCCAATTCGCATTCACCAAAGAGCCGCTCATCGAAGAATACTCCGTCGCCGCGCAAATCTACAAACTAAGCGCCGTAGACATGTGCGAGCTAGCCAAACACTCCGTCGAGCAGAGCGGCTTCGAACACGTCGTCAAGCAAAAATGGCTAGGAGGGAACTACCATCTCCCCGGCGTCGCCGGAAACGACATGGCGCGATCGAACGTACCCAGCATCCGCGAAGCCTTCCGCCACGAAACCCTCATGGGAGAACTAGCCATGTAAGCCTCATCAGCCACTCATAAAGCCATACATATATCTAACCCCTAACCCAAATCAGGATCGACCGCTACACGCGCGCCGCCCAATCCGCACTCACACGCTCCAACCTCCAACCCGGCGTCCCGCAAACTCCCAAATCTTTCCCCCAAGGTCCCACTTCCCCCACCAACCCTTCCGCCACTGACCCAGCATCTCAACCCCTGTTTTCCAGACTCCCCCCTGCAATGGCCTCGCGCCTTAAACCCGCTGCTACACCTTCTGTCGTCACAGACTCGGCTAGTCTACTAGGCCACGCGCCTTCTTCTCCCCCCGACACTTAGCAGCAGTACCCTCGATGGCGGCGCGGCCACCGCAGGTACTACCGGTGCTGCTGCTGTGTCCCGCCACCAACGTCGGCGTAGTAGTGAAATCACTATCAACCCTAGTACCATGGCTCCTCCGCCACAGCAGTCTATGGATACGCAAACACAGGGCCACGAAGACCCCGAACAGGGACTTGTCCGCTCCACTAGTTCTGTGACGTTGGATGGGGAACCGCGTCTTTTTCCGGGGTTGGTGAGTAGTAGGAGTCGTAGGAGGAGTGGACGGACTAGTCAGGTTGAGGAGGGGGGCGGTGTGGGTGTGGGTGGGGGAGTCGGGTCGAGGGCGGCGTTTAGAGGGGGTGTGGGGGAGGCAGATGTTGTTGTGGAGGAGGGGGGGAGTGAGGGGGAGGATTAGATTTTAGGGACTGGGGCGTAGGGGTAGTAGAAGTAGAGGTACACGTGTGTTTTGATTTTTGTTGGTCACGATGATGATATGACGGATCATCAGTAGAGTTTATACGAGTTATCAGGTAGAAACGACACGACAATCAAGACATCCGCATATAATAGAACCGACCGTCATTTATCCCCAACGACGAAACAAGGAGAAACAAGAATCATTCAAAAAAGATGCATTATGTATGACAATCATCTAGTCATCTCATGACTCAACTACTCGTACAGTACGAAAAAGCGCCAGAGCCAGCCATCTAATGCAAAGCAAACCCGCCTTCCCCACCTAATTGTACTGCATATAAGTAGCCGTAGAGTTAAACTTGAGATTGCCCTTGATAACCTTGTCCACCGCAGCAAGAAAGTCCTTCTCAGTCGCCACCTTTCTCCTCGCACGAATCGCAAACATGCCCGCCTCGGTCGCCACACTACGCAGCTCGGCACCCGTGCTGTTGGGGCAGAGACGCGAGATGAGTTCCCAGCGGATATCGCGCTCGACGCTCATGCTCTTTGCGTGGATACGCAGGATATTGGCGCGACCCTCCATGTCGGGGAGGGAGAATTCGATTTTACGGTCGATACGGCCGGGACGCATGAGGGCGGGGTCGAGTGTGGAGGGCCGGTTGGTGGCGAACATGACTTTGATGTTGCCGCGGGCGTCGAAGCCGTCGAGTTGTGTGATGAGTTCCAGCATGGTGCGTTGGACTTCGTTGTCGCCGCCGGCGCCGTCGTCGAAGCGGGCACCGCCGACGGCATCGATTTCGTCGAAGAAGATGATGCACGCCTTTTTTGTTCGCGCCATTTCGAAGAGCTCGCGCACCATGCGAGCGCCTTCTCCGACGTACTTTTGGACCAGCTCAGAGCCGATGACGCGGATGAAGGTGGCGTCTGTTCGGTTCGCGACTGCTCGGGCACATAGTGTCTTTCCGGTTCCTGGGGGGCCGTATAGAAGAGCGCCCTTGGGTGGGTCGATACCGAGGTTGACGAAGCGCTCTGGCGATAAGAGCGGCATCTCGACCACCTCTCGTAGCTTCTCGATCTGCTCCTTGCAACCTCCTACATCGCCGTATGTGACATCAGGCTTGTCCTCGACTGTCATCATGGTGACTGAAGGATCGATCTTGGGCGGGAGAGGAAGCAGAATCTGGTACTTGTTGCGGTCAACACCCACGCGCATACCCTCTTCAATGTCGGTCGGTGAGACGCGCTCTCCGAGGTTGACGACGAACTTGGCAATCTGCTTGACGTTGATGACATATTTGCTCTTTTCCGGATCCCTCTCGTCCTGTATTATCTTTGTGCATCGGGCGACTTGGAGGGGCTGCTCTTCTTGCATTCGTTGGCGGTCGGCGGCAATGTCCCAGAGATGTGGAGGTGCGAGTCCGGTATCTGATTCCTGTCGTATGTAAATAAAGGTCTAATCAAAACGCCGGCATACCCACTTTGACGCCAATCTTCTCGTTTATCGTCTGTTGCTTGTCTTTGATCTCCTTCTCCAGCTTCTTGAGCTCAGCACCATAAGGTGCTGCTCCGTATGTCTTCAACACCTGAATGTCCCTGTTACAGCATTAGCCAGGCATTGGGGCCATGTTTTTTCGCTTACTCATCGGTAAGAGGTGTAATCTTCTTCTCCTCTACCTCATCGTCGGCGAAGTTCTTCTGGTACTTCTCCCAGGACTGGCCTGTTGCTGAAGGCATGTTTGCGGCGGGCGCAGCGACTGTGGCGTGGCTGGAACGGTAACCGGACTAGATATGTGAATGAGAATGGAATGACTCGAAGTAGAAGCGAGAGTCGGAAGATGCTGTGTGGGTGAGTGGCAGGGTACGGGCGGTGATAGTGATGGTGGTGTAGTCAAAGGTGCAGCTGGGATGCGGCAATGGGCCGGCGAGTCGGAGCTTGCCCATCGTCAGTGCGCTAAGTCTATCGCGTTCTCGAAATATTGTCAGTTCGCGTTCAAGGCACCAAAAACTTCCCCGCCAAACAACACGATACCCCTCTTTTAGTCTTGTCTTCTCTATAATCGCAAGATGGCTGCTCAAGTTGCAAACGGCGGTAGCGGAAACGCTGCCTTCAAGGTCCGCCGTCCTCATAACAAGCTGTGAAAACATTGACTAACATGGATTGCAGGACAAGGAGAAGCCCAGAGCTGTTCGCAGCGCCAACATCATTGCCGCACGAGGTAGGAATTGCTAGTAGTCGCTTCTTGGAGGGTTTCGCTAACTCAAATGGTGTAGCTGTGGCAGATGCGATCCGAACTGTATGTGCCACGACGAGGTGCGGGGAAGGGATGAATATTAACATTTTGGCAGTCTTTGGGACCAAAGGGTATGGACAAGATGGTATGTGAATTGCAGGCCCTTGGATAGTCCATGTCTAACTTCCCGCAGATCCAAACCAGCAGAGGCCAAACCATCATCACAAACGACGGAGCCACCATGTTGAACCAGATGAGCGTCATGCACCCGTCGGCAAAGATGCTCGTCGATCTCGCACACGCCCAGGATATCGAGGCTGGAGATGGTACAACTTCGGTTGTTGTCATTGCTGGAAGTCTGTTGGGTGCTGCTGAACGGTTACTGGGCAAGGGCATCCACCCCACCGTCATCTCAGAGGCTTTCCAGCGCGCCGCTCAAGAGGCGATAAGGATATTGACCGACATGGCCATCCCCATCTCCCTCACCGACAGGCAAACACTCCTCAAGACCGCCACCACCGCCCTTTCCTCCAAGATCGTCGCCTCCGAGCCCAAGCTGCCCATCATGGCTGTAGACTCGGTACTCAAGGTCATTGACCCCAAGACGGCCGACAACGTGGATCTGAAGAATATCCGAATGATTAAGAAGTCGGGTGGCACAATCGAAGACAGTGAGATGATTGATGGTCTGGTCCTCAACCAGCCAGTAGTCAAGAGCGCTGGTGGCCCTACACTGAAAGAGAAGGCGCGGATAGGTCTCATCCAATTCCAGTTGAGCCCACCGAAACCAGACATGGAGAACCAGATTGTTGTCAACGACTACAGGCAAATGGACAAGATTCTCAAGGAGGAGCGGACATATTTGTTGAACATGGTCAAGAAGATCCAGAAAGCAAAGTGCAACGTGCTCTTCATCCAAAAGTCCATTCTGCGAGATGCAGTCAACGACCTCAGTCTGCATTTCCTGTCCAAACTCAAGATCCTTGTCATCAAGGACATTGAGCGCGACGAGATTGAGTTCATCTGCAAGGTGCGTATTGAATGAAGATGCCATATTCAGAGCTAACGCAAAACAGAGCACTGGTTGCAAACCCATTGCCGACATTGACTCATTCACAGAGGACAAGCTCGGTTCCGCAGACCTTGTCGAGGAAGTGCAGGCATCAGGCGCTCGGTACGTCAAGATATCAGGTGTCAAGTCAGTCGTCAACACGGTATCCATCGTCTGCCGCGGCGCCAACAACCTCATTCTCGACGAGACTGAGCGCTCTCTCCACGACGCACACTGCGCCATCCGTTCGTTAGTCAAGAAGAAGGCACTTCTTGCCGGTGGCGGTGCCCCCGAGATTGAAATCGCACATCAACTGTCGCTCCAAGCTCGTGAGCTATCTGGTACAGAGTCCATTTGCTGGAAGGCCTTTGCCGACGCCATGGAAGTTATCCCAACGACGCTCGCCGAAAACGCTGGTCTCAACAGCATCAAGGTTGTTACTGAGCTGAGGCATAGGCACGCACAGGAGCAGAAGAATGCGGGTATTAGCATCAAGAGCGGGGGTGTCAAGAACGACATTAGTGAGGAGAACGTCCTGCAGCCACTGCTGGTGAGCACCAGTGCCATTGAGCTAGCGGCCGAGACGGTCAAGATGATTCTGCGAATCGACGACATTGCATTGTCGAGGTAGAGCAAGAAATAATTAACTTGCTGGGTCGTCTGAAATATGAATACAGAAATCTCCCACGAGTAATGAAAATGATTGCAAGATGTTAAAGTGCTGGTGGTGTAACGTGTGGTGACAATATTTTTAGACTACCCTACAGCCAGCTATCACACCCAAAACCTTTACATAGTTCACAAACTACAATTCATCTCTAGTAAAGGTGACGTTACATCACATATATATGCCTCAAACACGCGTATATAGTCCACTAACTAGCCCCAGCGCTCCCCCCCCTTCCCCATATCCACTCCTCCGAGACACCGTGGACCCTGACAACCGGTACTGGTGCGCAAGCCAAACTACAAAGCACGGCCCTCGTTCAATTTAATCGGCGAAGAAGAACAAGAAGAAGAAGATGGATAGCTTGGTACACTAGTGTTTCGGCAGTGGTGGCGGTTATGACGCAAGCGCTCGCACTCGGCTAGACTAAAATAGTGGTTTCGCAGGCTATGTAGATCGTGTGGTATGGTGCGGTGCGGTGCGGGGGCGAGGGGATGGGGTAGGGCGAGGGGATAAGGATAGGAGGGAGAGGGGAGGAGAAGTTTGGGTCGGTGATGTCAGTGTGCGGCGGGTGGCGGGTGGCGGGTGGTTTGGTACGGGGGACTAAGGGGGTAGGGGGTGGGTGTATTTGGAATAGGCGGGTAGGTAGGGGTAGGCGTGGGGAAGGGGAAGGGAAAGAGGTAATAGTGTTGAGGGTGGTGGCGAGTCTCACCATGTAGACGTATACAGATTCTTGATAGAGAGGTGTATGTAAGATATAGTAATCTAATTTTAGTGGGTAACAACACATCTGTTCCACCACAAGAATCGAAAATTCAGGTATAGTGTATGGTGTCGGACAAGGAGTTTAGGGGAAGATAGGGAAGGGGGCTAAGATTTAGAGAAGGGTATGGTAGTCTTAGCGTAGTGTCTAGGACTACCAAACAGTATCCTTGGGAATTGTAGAGCGGGGTGTTTGTTTGGGGGTAAGCTGGGACAAGGATGGTTTGGGTACTAGAACAATCTCAACGCCGAGCCAGATTTCACTCGCTTCACTATGCGATGTTATAAAGGAAAA